TTGCTTTTTATTCACAGTAAACTTCAAGGTGGAAGCAAACTATGCCTCGTTTAGTTGGTTCGTCAAATTAGGGTTTGACGTTATTTTCACGGGTTTCTTGCACGGAATTCTCGGAGTTGATATCACATCTATAAAGGATTTGAAATACTTCGACGGTAAATTATAAAATAAACACACACTAAGTATTAAATTATCATTAATCTCGTTTACGACGGTGGCGTTTTTCATATGGTTAGTGTTTACATTGGTCTAATTTATATTTCTAAAACACCTTAAACACACTTAAAATTTTAATCCAAAATTTATTACTTATATGTGTGTCTAAGTGAGATAGAAATACATTGTATTATCATAATATGTTCAAAATATCCTGACATTTCGTTTAAAAAGTGAATTATAATTTACTGGTGCTTTAATATGTAAAACGAAAAAATGTAACACTTTTAATATGAGATTAACGATGACGCCATGTTTAAAAATGGCCGACACATGGTCAATGGTTGATCCATTAAATCTGCCTTTGCTTGATTCAATATACAATGTATATTGTTGTTTCATTGTATAAAACATCAAATAGGTTCTTATTACAGCTGATAACAATTTATTTTTGTATGGTAATTTCATTATATTATTCTTTATCCTTTATTCTATAAAATCGTATACAAATTTACGACAAACATTAGTATCAAATAAGTTTCCTAATGACTTTGAATAATATTATACTTGACTCGAAGCTACCCTTGGCTTCTTTCTATAGTTTTAGAAATACCTATTTCAAAAAAATCATATTAAGACAAAAGACATAAATCTCAACTGTGACGTCATTATTTGAAGAATATCATGTGGCAAAGCACATATTAGGATTCAGGAAAAATGTTAGATAGCCCCGTTTTTTAAATTTCACTTTTAAAATTTAAGTTTTTGGTTTTATTCGGATATAAGCTTTAAAAAGCCTTTATTGCATCGTTCAAATTGTCCAAATGCTTCTGTAAAAGTTTGTGTTTTCCTTAATAAAAATAGATACCTGTATTTGTTAATGTCTAAGACAATGCCATGGAAAATAAATACATAACATTAGTATTGAATATTAATTTAAAGATGAAGGTTATATGGGAGTGAGTGCAAATATTGACAACAGTAAAGAACTGGTGGCAAACTTGGACGATCTGAGACAGGTAATACAGTCTGGAGATTCAATCGGCATAGGGTCTCTAAGTTATCCATTTGTGACAGACTCGTTCCATGCAACTGTTAAAAGGGGTATGTATTATTGCCAATGTAGTTAAATAGATAGAAGTAATATAACACATGCCATTTTAATATTGAGAAATTCGTGTTGACCATTAGAGTAAAAGACTTCATATTTATACATTTATAACATTACTAATAACGTTTTCTACAATTTCAATAATGAAATAATGAAAACTGTTTGAAGGGCTTTATGTTAACTGTGCATGATCTTAAAACAACAATTAAAATTCCAGTGTAAAGAATGGGTTTTCTTAATCTTGTTTACTAAGTTATCCGCCCTTGAATAAAGTAAAATGTTGCTTTATTTAGATAATGTTAAGGACAAAAATCTTAAATTTCTTGTTACTGAAAAAATGATCTCAACAACCGCGAGATTTCTTTCCTTGAAATGTTTATGTTATCATGTTCTTAAATAATGGAAGATTTTATATAAATTCTATTTGGTGTCATTAGAATATTGACTTTCAAACAAAACATAACCTGAATCTTCCCAAACAAAAGATTTACCAGATCCAGCAGATTCATTGAATTGAATATTTTTTGTACTGCTTAGGTCGCTGCTGGGGTGCAGCTCAGTTTACAATTGCAGCACGAAAGTATTACTACCGGATAAAACATTCTTACCATCCTCTTCTTGTACAATAGTTTTAATACAATTTGTACTTCAAACAGGCTATTGGTAATTGTATTTATTCTTTCGATAATATGAATTAGTAATTTAATTTCCAGCTAAATTTTTGATTTTCTTTTGCAGACAACAGTGTTCTTGTACCGTCTAATGTCACTGCTACCATTTGGCTACCTAACACCACCTTGGCTTCTGCTTCACCAAATAGAACTGGAGGTTAATGCAGATTTTATTATATAACACTGATTCATTCGATAAGAAATAACAATAAAAATATTATATGTCTTTATAAAAAATATTTGTCACAAAAATCTTTCATTTTGGAATTATCTGTCGATATATTCACGAAATAAAGCCCTATATAGATATAGAACGAATTTTAAATAGTTTCCTTACATGACATTGCAACAAAAAAACTGCAATAACCACGCACCATAAGTACGGTGTTCCAAAGAAAGTTACATAGAAATGTAAAATAAAAGATATGTTTACAAATATTAAATCGCATTCTTTTAAAACCATGGTACTAAAAGCTTTTCTCATCTTGAGTTGTTGCTTTGACATTTGTGTTGCCATTGATAGATCCCTACTCTGACCTCTTATTTAAATAACAATAGATTTAACCACAAATTACATTGATATATGATCTTGTGTTAACAAACATGTTGTGATGAAATTCTTATTTTATCCACTTATCTGATAATAAGACAGGTTTATTACTAAATACGTTAAAAATGAAAATATTTTATACATAACATAATTGCATGATTCACATTTTACTCGAATATTTATTTGTACTACAAAGATAACTTAACCATGTAACTGTCCTATATTTTCAGAAAACAAGACTTGCAATGAAACTGAGGTAATATCACTTACAATACGGAAAAATGCATTAAAACTTGCATGGAGACTTATTTAAAGCCCGAGCCTGCTAGGAGAGGGATTTAGTACAGTCCGAGGGCTTTGGTTAAATATATAATTAATGCATTGCTCTACAATTATGTTCTACATGCCATTTCAATCCCCTTTTGTTGTCTTTAACAGAGCTGTAAAAAGCAGTATCTTCCTAGATCTACTGTTATTATCATATATAACATCAATGTTACACTTTGCCTTGTTCTAACATATTGCGTACATTGTCTAAGCAAAACTCAAAAATGTAAATGTGTAATAATAATTCGGTCTTTTGCTTTTTAGGACAGCTGCCTGGATGAATTTGGACATAGCATTTGTGTTCCTCTTGAATTATGTGACGTTATATCCGTGATACGTAAGTAATGAATCTATGACCACATTTATCTTTTTAAACACAAAACAATTTGTTTGATATTTCCCCTGTTTGAGTCATCGTTGCACGTATTTGAAGTCCAGTTCTGTCATCATTTTTGAACTTGTTGAGAACATGGTATAATATGTTTAACATATTATATTTACACTTAAATATCGCAGGACAGAAGGAGGTATTTTCCAATACAAAATTAATTTATTGTCACGTGCATCATTTTGATTAATAATTTCTTTGATGATATTTATCCAGTTTAAGCTTAATTATTGCAAAGTGTATTTCATCACAATTAAGTGCAATATGTCATTATTACATTCTTTGCAATGTGTGACTGCCTAAAATGATTACATTTTTTTCCAGTGAGTTTCACTATCGATGCAAACTACACTATATTTAAGTTTGTGATAAATTTGCTAATAGGCATCTTCAAGTATCTACTGGCAGAGCTGCTAAATATCAATCTTGACGACATCATAAGTCTAGAAGTCCTTGAGGGTAAGTGAAAAAGCAGACGATCATAAAGTAGATAAAAGACGAACGAGAGTCATTCAGTATTATAAAACCTAATTATTTCAGGTAGAGATGTAATTAAATAGCAAAGACTTGCAAACTGGTCATCTGCATAATCAGTACTTAAATAAATACAATATCATTTCAAAGGAAACACGTTGCCTGTTTTTAAAGACATTTCAATTCATATGAAGTCTGACATCACAAGGCAAGTATGAAGTATTTTAATACGGTAGTCCATTAAAACCTGTTTTACTTGTTTATTTTCTCTTCATTCTTTTTTCTTGTAAACCTAAGGCACGAATGGGTTTTAAGTCTACTTTCACAAAAAGTATTGCACGGTCGCCATATGACCTTGACAGTGTTGTTGGGGCAACGATTTTTTTTAAAGAGTTTTAGAGATGGTTTGAAACAGAAAGAATGATATGAAATGTGACTGCTCGTTTCTTCTTGTGGCTTTAGGTTCTGTTATTGTAAAAACTGAAGTTATAGAAAGTGAACAATTAAACAAAATGCTCGATGGATTCCGTGATTCAATCAACTCTGGAAATGCCAAAGTGGATTTGATGGGAAAAAACTACACAATAAAGCCGAATTCCTTCACAGTCACAGTCAAGAAAAGTATACTTTCATTAACTTTTATTGGCTTCGCTATTGCATTACAATAACGCATTCTTGCATTTCAGGAAAAAAATAACGGATGAAACTTACGATTGATAAGGTCAAACAATTTAGAGTTTCAAAATGAATCAGCTTTTTATATATAAGTATTTAACTTAATACATGTTAGTTTTATATATATAGTACATTGGTAAGTAGCAAGTCGGGATATTTCATATTTCACTATTTTATTATATAGCAGGTAACACAACGACCACTCCAAAGAGCCCTGTCAACACAACTTCAGGTACTTCAGGTTTTCAACTTACATTAATGCTTTCGTCTATTGTTTTAAATGTCATTGTATGATAGGTAAAAACATAAATAAATTTGAATTTTATATTTAGGATAGGAAAATAAATCAAATGAACAAGAAAAAAACATTTGTATGAAAGTGTTCAGAAAATAAAAGAAATAATTTAGATTATTTTTTTTTAGATTACGGTACGCTTCATATTTTGTTTTGAACCTTTTTTTTTGGGGGGGGGGGGGATAATCATTTGAGACCTTTGAAACAAATATGCAAGACTATTTTATAGGTAACATACGATATAAAAAAAGAAATAAAGTTGGAATATTTTTAGGAATAATGTGTGCTTCATAGAAATTGTTGCTATAAAATGTGTATAAAGAGGACATTTTCAATGGTTTATTTTAATATATTTAAGGCAACCTCACATGCTTGGAACATGAGGTAGGTATCTATGCTAGCATATCTGTATGAGTATTTAATTTTAAACTGTATCTAAAGGATTCGTCAATCTGAAGTACAAAGACGTAAACAACACAGCAAAAACCTTCATCTGTTAATAAACATTTCGCTATTTGGAAAATATTTGTTGCTTAACAGAATGTTTTACTTATACCAGAAACTTTCAATGTTTTGAACATTTAAAATAATATGATTTGATGCATTTACCGATGAATATATAGCGACAAAGTATTGGAATAGCAAAAAGTAAAAAGATCATTTAATTGTTTTTAGAATATGAATGAATTATGCCTTCAAAACTTCAAAGCTATTTGTCTCAGTAAAATTGTGAAATATTAGATAAATTTAGTCACGTTTTCTACTGGTAAAATATCAATATCTCAATCTTGAGAAATAATAAGAGAAATCTTATATTATTTATAAATATTTAATAGATTTTATTTGGAAAATTAACACGAAAATGTAAGTAATATTTACTTTGTAATTTCTGTTTTAGGAGACCTGTCTAGACAGTACCGGCTTGGCAATATGTGTTCCCGAAAGTCTTTGCGATATTCTAGATATTATAGGTAGAAAGTTAACATATTCGTGTACTAATATACTTGTACTAGTTCAATGTTTAATGTCACGTTGATTCTATATTCTAATCGTATTTAGGAAATTCAAGATATGGCCTTATATGATTTTATGGTTTAGCGAGTTAAATATGTTGTACGATAATCAGATTTTCGAATTGGTTTTTAACGACAGCGTCCAACATGAAAAAGATTGCATTAATTATCCAATTGCTGCTTTTAAATTGAACCACGTAACAAAATCATATACTTGCAAACCAAAACAATATAACAATATATCCCTCTCCATAAATATTGGAAAGGAAATCCATCTTTTGAAAATGTTTGCTCTGAAACAAAAAATAAAAGTTTATTGTATTTTTGGAAAAAGTTAACACCGGCAATTGCCAAAAATTGTATTAACAATTATCATGACAATCCAAAATATATCATGACCAATACAAACGCTGCATGCCTAAGTACGGAAAAGTATTTAAGAAATAGGAACAAAACATACGACCATTGAAACAAATACGTAAAAATACTAGTTTTCGCTTTGCAAAGGCTGAAAGACAAAATGGAACCGGCTACTATTTATTCTATGAGCATATGCCAATGTGTGCTATATGGATTATTTGTCATATGCCATCTTTTCTTGTTTATTGCCATATGTATCCTTAACATCATTTGAGTGATTGCTTTAATACTTTGTATACTTTGTTAACATAAATAAAAGTGAAAATATTTTATGGTTTACATGTACACATATTTTACCTTTTCATTGTTCATATCAGTATCAGTACAAGGTGCATATTTTCCTCTTGTTAATTTAAATCATCTATGTTGTTTTTTTTTTTTTCAGTTACTTTCAAAATTGATGCAGTTTTCGACATACTTGTACCCGTTTTCGAAACGCTATATGCAGTGGTTAAAGAGATCGTTGCAAGATTTCTGAATATTGATACCAGTTCTGTACTGGACATAAAGTTCTTTGAAGGTAAAGCCATTTATGATCATAATATGAAATAAATTCATTTCGATTTACAACTTTATTATATGAGAAAATGTGGCAGAACAAAGCAAACGACAATTGTAAATTTCAATTATGTTCGCCTATGTTGCGCTCTATCATGTGGCGATAGCCTATATAATTTATAATGGAAGCAAAAAGATATGAAGCTAATATTAGCATGAGTCGGCAGATGTAGAGTACACATGAAGTGTTTGCTTCTTGTTTAGGAAGTGTTTATATTGTTCAAACGTACGGTCATGATACCAAAGGCGTTATAAAATGTCATTTGTGCTTGAATAAAACACCATGACATACTTAATTATTAATTATTTTAAATAATAGTGATGCAAAATAATCTAAACCGGTATTGCACTAACATTTTAAATAAGTAACGGTATGCTATATGCAATTTTAAGTTGAAAAAAAAATTCTTTGATCAATTACGCTAGTTATAAAAGTAAGAAAAATGTTGTCGTGGTTATTTGAAGGCTCACTGGGAGTTAATGCTACACTAAGTGCTGATGCAGCAAGTCATATTGAAGAACTTCGATCAGAAATATTGTCTGGAGGACAAGTTGAACTTCTTGGTATAAACTATGATATCATACCAGACTCCTTTTTCGTCATCGTTAATAAAGGTAAAAATGTTATGATTCTCCTTGCTTGGGTCTTTAATCACATATATTAAAAGAAATTGACATGCTGTTGCTTTTTTCCGATGCACGATTTGTAATTTATTAAATAACGTATGCGTAATTTAAAAGAAATATTCGGATGCTTATAAATATAGGCATATCATTCTTGAATCTTATCCTGTGAGAATAATTTTTGTCTGTTTTGCTCAATGTATATTGTCTTTAGAATATATGTACTTGCTCTACAAACCAAACATTTCATATCATGATAAACATTTAATAAGTTTTTTTATTTTAATTACATTTTATAACCCTGTAGCAGTAGATTTTTAGGTATTCGATCTCAAAACATTAATATCAATCAGGAAGGTAAATCATTTCATTGTGATACAGACATATTATTTAGGATGACAGTTTCTTCTCAATACATATAAATATGTATAACATAAAACATTAAATCTGGAATCATGGACTATGAATATAAATATCATTTAAAAGACGAAAATATAAATCAAGTAGTGCACTGGCATTTACGTGTAAATACAAACATCTTAAATCTGACTTACCAAGTATTAATTACAGGTTCAGCTAACGCCAGTATGCACAGCGTCATGCCTTCATATACACCATCGGTCCCCTTCAACTCAACACCAGGTAAATTACTTCAGTTATATTAAGTTGTTTATTGTAGTATTTTTGTTATGTTTTCCTCAACTGATTAAAATATCGTTTATTTTACAGTATGATTAACACTTGCGAAAAAAGTTCTTATACAGCTTTGCACTTAAAACTGTATATAAATATTTAAAAGTAAAAAATCTCAGACTTTTGTCTGACAGTTTACCACCTCGATTAAATATTACTAAATTTTTATTATCACTTACGTCGTATAAAATATAGATATTTCATTCAATTTAACATATGTCAGTCTCATCTAACTAAATCAGATTTATCATGAAATGTGCGACTTACTTGATTAACTAATTAATTTCAGCAACTTTGGCTTGCTCACCGAACGAGGTAAGAAGATTTTAATTTTTATTGAGCTAAACCATATCTTAATTAACACCTCCTTTCTCCGAAATTAAGAATACTTTGGGTTTCCCAGCTTATCCGTAGGTACAAACAAACTTTTACTGTCACAACTTCGGAAATATGCTCAAGAGTTTGACGGGTTCTGCACCGTTAAGCTATAACGATAAGTTTGTTTGTACCTACAGACTAGCTGGGTTAAAAACCGATATTGCCGAGTTCCGAACAACATTTATTAAAGTAAACGTCTCTTAGTTTAATACTTAACATATTTTAAAAAAAATATTTCATTGAAGCAATTCATTCTATCACAAAATATGTTATTATTTTTTGTAAAAAAAAAACCATTAACAATCACTATATTATTTTGAAGGAATCATGTTTAGATAGTGTTGGCTTCGAAATTTGTGTTCCAAAATCGATTTGTGAAATTTTAGAAATTGTAGGTAAGTAAATTAAAACCCAACTAATTTGAATACAGTTAATTAATGCCAGTGTAATTTTTAGTGAAAGTTTAACATTTTTTGTAATTTTTGCAATTTGTTGAGCAGTAAGTGATTAAACAATTGCGATTCTTTTCTACGGTCTTTATAAAAATGATAGAATGACCGCAAAAGCCATCGATGCAACATCGATTAATATACATGTACATGTGCTAAGCATAATATATCAGAAAATCTTAAGCGAAATTCTTTTCTGTAAGAAAGCTAGCGTTATTTCAAGCCTCAAATAACAAGCGATTGAGGTGTTTCACCGTTAGTTTATGTTGGAATTTTTTAATTCTGATAAAAACACACGCATATTTTATTTTAAACATATTTCACATTTCTTGATAAGTCTATTTGATTAATTTTATCATTTCAATAACGCTCAGTTTGTTCTTTATTGTGCCATATATATTTCAGTCACCTTTAAAATAAATGCATTCTTTGACGGTCTAGTTCCGTTCTTCGGGATACTGAATGGTGTTATAAAGGAACTTGTAGCAACATTTCTAAAAGTTGATACAAGCACAATATTAGATATCAAGTTTTTCGAAGGTAATTATTTTTAATGCTTTTCTTTATTTAACTTGTAACATGATCTATCACGTGATTGATATCACGCAATTCTAGGTGCTATGAATCTTAAACTAGCACTTTTATTAGAAACAGAAATTTGCAGTGTAGCTATATGACCATTCATATCCGCTACTAACAACTAAACATAACTCAACACGCCATTGTCCAAAGGTTGTTTGACAGTTATCGAATGTCTTGTACATTATAACAAAACATATTTTTGTAATATTCACATGCCTCAGTCAACGGTTCCAAAATTGTGTTTTCAGTCCCATTAGAGTAAAAGCTTTTAAAACTCTGAAATATCTCCTTGATAAATTTGAAATAATTTTACATTTTCGTCAATTCCATATTACCTTTCAATACATTTAAATTACATGAAAACAGGTTCTTTGGGGGTAAACGCAACTCTTAGTGCTGATGCAGCTAGTAACATTGATGAGATGCGCAAAGAAATGCAATCAGCAGGATCCGTTAACCTCATGGGCGTGAATTATGATATTGTTCAAGATTCATTCCATGTCACGGTTAAGTCAGGTACACGTTTTACAATTTGAAATATGACAATTTTATTAAAACATTAACGTTAAGTTTAAAACACTTCACGTGGCCTAATATGAGCCGTTTTAAGTTCTGCATTAATTTTATTTTTAAGAAAAACAACAACCTCGGTAAGATTGAAAACAAATTTTTAGACAAGATAGAATGTTAACCTTTATTGTAGGTTAAAAAAGAGTCTCACTCAGAACTCACCTATTATTACATACTGATGAGCTTAAATCATGATTTTAATTTCCATATTCCCAACTTCTTGATCTTTAAATCTCATTTCATTTTCAAAATAAATTATTCATGATACTTGATGGTAAATCTGTCATTGAAGCTCATTTCATCTTGTTTCGTTTGAAATGAAGAGAGTAATTCTCTTTAAAACCATTAATCAGTCAATGTTTTATTTCTTATCTAGCTTTGCCAACTGTAGGTCCTCAGATTTACAACTCAACCGAAAGTTACATCTATGCTAACATGACCACAACACATAGTGATTTCACCATTACTGAAGACTCGAACGCAGACTTATCTACCGTAGATAAACAAATGACTACAACTTTGAAAGTTGAAGATGAACACATTTCTACTGCTTTGGAGGTAACTACACAGACAGTTGGAGACACAACACTTCTGACCGACGGCGATCAGATGTCTACTACAATGATATTAACGACTCAGGAAGATAAAGATACAACAACTGCCGACAGTGAAGACAAGCAAATGTCCTCTACTATCAAAGTATCTACTCAAACCGTTGAGGAAACATCTACACTACAGAATGATGATAAACAAATGACTACCACGTTGAAAGATAAAGACACTACAACAAATACTGAAGACAAAGAAATGTTAACTGCTATAGAGATAACTACACAGACAGTTGATAAAACCACAACTACAGATATTGATGACAAGGAAATGTCTACTACTATAGAAGTAACCACCCAGGCAGTTGATGTCACAACAACGGCAAATATTGAAGACAAAGAAATGTCCACTCCTATAGAGATAACTACTCGTGCAAATGAGGAATCAACAACTGCAAACATTATAGATAAATTAACCACTACTATGAAAGTATCAACTCAGGCAGCTGAAGACATCACAAGTTCATATATTGGAGATAAAGCAATGTCCACTTCTATGTTGGTTACAACACAGGTAGCTGCCGAAACCACTGCTGCAAACCTTGAAGAAACTACTGCTTCAGAAGAGTTATCATCGCAACAAACAGCAAATCAAGGACGTGCAATGTCAACCACAACATCAGACAAAGGTAAAAGTTCACAAAATGTTTCTTCAAGTACTACGTGGCTTCTGTCAACAAGTCATGGAAAAACCAACATGGATAATGTCTTTGCCGGCCTAGATAGGTTTCGTTTTACAAAGCATGCCGAAAAATATAAGCCATAAGGCTATTGCATAATACCTGTATTTGAATTATTCAGTTAGGGAAAAAAACGGAATCTTTAGAGAAAGCCCAAACGGCAAAATTTAAAATGCTGCAGGCTCCATTTGATTTAGTCTGTTCATAAACGATAATGGTTAGTGCAAAGTTACTCTTAAAACCATCAGAATTCATTTGTTGATATGTAGATCAATTATAATACTTCATATTATCAAAATCACTAATTAACAAGTGTTGTATGTCTTTTACATACAGATGTAACCTTAAATGGTTCTGTGGCATTGAACAGTAGTGATGTCCCTTTTGATTACCTTGCTACAACCAGAACCTACATCGTTCAAACAGACAACTACAATAACACAACTGCAGGTACACAAGTTTTAGTTCATAAATTGTCATACTAAGAAACATTGCATTAATACTGCTAAATTTTTTAAAAGGACTTGCACAATTATACATTTGTGAAACTGTACATTGTCAATTTGGGGATCTCAAGGTATAAACTTAAAGTTGCCAGCAGTTCTTTAAAGTTATTCAGTGTAATCAGTCTACTTCCGGTTATCGCAAGAGATGGCAAATTTATTTTAAATCTTTTTGTCATGCTAATATATGTCAACAAATTAAATTAGTATATATCTAAACTTGTACCTCTAATGTGATAACCGGTAGTAGACGCGTTTTTTTACGATGCAATAAAAATACGAACAAAGAGAACAAAGAAAAAAACATACTGTGACTTCTTTTATTTTTCAGCGGCAAACATGTTTGGCGGGAATCTTGCTGTTGCCCTCCTTATGACTGTTGCAACTACACTAGTGTAAACAGTACGAAAAAGAAGACTTATTTAAGAGGGGACTTTTTTAAACATCACATTCATTTTAAATTTATAAGTTTAATCCCTTTCCACTGATGAATGACAAATGTGGTGAAGTTGTGAGCCTTCAGATGAGTAAACAAATGTTCAAAAAATCAGTCTTTATATTTATCACACTGAATTCATTTTATAGACTTTTTCAAATCTGTATATAACCATTCATTATTTTAGGCAATTTTAAAATAAGTACTGACTAAACGACAAGCAGTGGAGATCACTAGCAGGCTAAGAGTTAAGAAATGTTACTGAGTACATTAAAGAAAGAAATAAAATGAAAAGTTCAAAAAAAAAAATACGAAATTTTACTGGAAGGTTTAAGAAATGTTTATTGAATATTCTAACTGCAAAATTTAGGCAAAATAAGACATTTTTTTTATCTTTATCAAAATTCTACTCAATTTCTAATGGTGTAAGAGCTATTTATTGTATAGACATACATGTACATGTATATAGACATCAGTGTAGTGGTAAGAGCAAGAAGTAAATGTCTAAAGCTATCTAGAATTCATTACTTTACCTGCTCACATGACAATTCTTTTAGAAGTTTGGACACTTTGTTAATGTTAAGCATGATTTTGGAGGCGTGCTGCATTAGGTCAATGAATCACTGTATTCCATAATTTCGGTATATATCGACTAATGTCGGGTAATTTCGTAACATTCCTGAAGTCGCTGATGTCTTCGGGTTATACCTACTCGATCTCAGTACATTCTATTTTATTACCCTTCCAGATTTTTTCCGCCTTTTTGATTGGATATTGATCACCCGAAAGAAATTGATATAACCGAGCTAGACGGGTAATATACACACTAAATTTCCCCGTTGGGTACCCAACGTTGTAAACAACATGCGCTGAGGTGATGCGCGTACGGTTCGATTTTACGCGGTGTAAATTCCGATTTACAAGCATTTTTTAACTGTCAAATGATAAATATTTACCAAAGTAGAGTAATGATACATATTACCATCAGTATTGAAAACAAATATGTCCTTGTGAAAGCTTGATATTTATTACAAAAAAGTGCGTTCAATAGACTACTCCTTTTCTCTTGTTTACATTCGTCAGGTACGGGAAAAATACGTCATGTATTTATGTGACGTCATGTTGTGACGAAGAGGTACCCTAAAGGGAATCTTATTTCGACGTTTCATTTGAAACAGCAATGATTTTTTAAAAAATCGTCTAAACTCGGCAGGGGAAGGGTAATAAAATTATTATTTTGGTTTTGGAGTGCTAATGTGGATATATTACCTGCCAAGATAAAATATCACCCTCGCCTAACGGCTCGGGTGATATAAAATCTTAGCAGGTAATATATCCACATATATCACTCCAAAACCAAAATAACATATAATGTGATAGTGTGTTTCCCATAAGGACGTTGTTATTTCAGAAAATCCCATTATTATGACTCGCATAACCTTATTAGGGTTAGGGTCTATAATTTAATTCTAAACGTAAGTTTGCTTTATCTTTCGGTAGCATAGAACATTTTATATCATAACTATTTTGACCAATGACAGATAAATAATTAATACTCGTGGTGTATTGAGAATTTAAAATATTTCATATAACAGAACGTACAATGTTTCGGAATCAAATCTTTGAAGTAACTCCCTTTAAAATAATTCTTACGCAATATGTTCATATATTATATTTTATATGTTTAGCTTTTTTATATGTTTCATTTATGTGCAATGTTCCTATTTGGTAATTTCTTTTAACTGTATATCACAATATGAATAAATGAATCTCTATCATAACTGAATCTAAAACGTGTTGTTTCTTTTTATAAATCCATTTTATATCTAATCTATTTCAATAAATTCAAAGTTTCTATGTGTGTATAAATTTCAAAGCGGAAACAGTTGGTTGTTAAGTCCTGAAAGCTGAATTTGATAGAAAATACGAAAATTGCGCAATTGTTGCTTCTTTGGGACAAAGACCTAGGCAGACACTGTATTTTTCCGGTAATAACTATATTTCTTTACATTCTACCACAAATGCTGGATAAATCAAATAAACAAAAGAAGGCGCAACTGAAACGACGATTAAACGTACATTGCAAGAGAACTTGTATTTGTATTAGGAAAGACACAATATTAGATTTAGCTGACCAGGTTCTTTTTTTTATCAAATATGAAGACGAAAATAATGACAGAAGTTTATTTCGTTCATGGTTTTTAAAATTAACAAAATGCTGTAAAGAAGCATACATTTATCTAGCCACAGTATTTTCTTTTTTTTTATAAAATACGGAATAAAAACGATTTAACAAAAAAATTGTAGCCATATTTATCGCTTTATCAAATATGGAGTAAAACAAAGTAACACGATTAATGTCCCATATTTTCCATCAAATACGGAACGAAGAACAAGATTATTGTTGGCATATTTTCCCTTTTTACTATCAAATACGGGTGTAGGAGACAAGGTAACACGATTATTGTCGTCATATTTTCCATTTTCTATCAATTATGTGAAGAAGACAGGTAACACGATTAGTTCCCAAATTTCCCTTTCATTTTTTTTTATCATATACGGGATAGGAGACAAGGTTACAAGATTATAGTACATGTAGTTATATTTATTCATTTTTTAAACAAAAGAAAGACATTAATCAGGGAAACATGAATAAATTCTAGCAACAGTATCCAATTATAAACAGCGTGAAAACATTATAACACGTTTAACCCGTTACGCATTACGCATATACACGCCTTTTTCACCCCGACCCCCCTATTTGTTGTCTCAAATGATGAAAAAATGCCTTATTTAGGCCCCCAACACTTGTTTTTATTTGAGAAATGTTGTTAAAAAACTGACCACTTTTTCGGCGCGGCCCCCAACCAAAAGATACATCAGGGGGTTGCCAGAAGGGGAATGTACCCCTTCTGTTTGGGGGTGGGGTTGAAGGAGGGCGGCAGTCCCCTCATCGCCAAGAAAATTTTGGACTTGTGAGAGGCTAAAAATGACCCCAGATCGATCATAAGGTAACGTGTAACCAACGCTGAAAAGCATATGACTCTATCTCAATCCATTGAGAAGTTGCAGCACTTTGAAATCAATTTTAATAGAAAAAATCAACGCAAAATAGGGATTTTTGGCAATTTTAAGATGTCCCCTCGTTGCCATGGTAACAGGAATTTAAGCCCGAGCATGTTGTTGCAAAGGCAATGGTCCAGTCAACACTTGTGCCAAGTTTGATTAGTATTGAAGCAGTTTTTATAGCAATTTGAACTTTTAACAGGAGACTTTTAAATGAAAAGTCAGCCATTGTTCACAAAATGCTCATGAAGTAATGGGTTAATTGTAGTCATATTTATCATTTTGTTTCAAATTCGGGTGAAAAAAACAAGATTTATTGTATTAACAAACATTTATTATTCAATCATTTGACAGTATCATTTGTAATCAATAATTGGCAGTTTATGCAGAAAGCAAAATTTTAAGGAATAAATATATGTGTAAAACTTTTTCAAGTGTGAATGACTATATAAAAATATTATTAAACATTTTATTGTTTTCTTTTACATAAAGTTACTTTTCTATATTTATTTTCAAAAATTTCTACCACTTAACATATATAATATTGACATGAACTACTACTAAGAAAGTGCAAGCAAATATTGTGTAAATGTGTAAATATTTATTTACACTTTCTTTCTCTTTTCTTTTTGCAGAAAATTCGAATCTGTTTTTGAAAAACATAACCACTTTCTTAACAGACCAAGGGCAATAACTCTTGAAGTTGTACCCAGGGTTTAAAAAACTTAACAAGCAATATTTACCTAGGATGATTAAAGACTGAACTGGAAAATTTTTTATGAAATTTTATTTAAACTTTTAAGATTTGATGTAGATCTATACCAATATTAAACCTATGTGTAAAAAAAATCATGTAACTCACTTGCTCTCTTTTTCCAGAATAATCATTTTTATTGTGCAAAATAATCTAAATATATAAAATCACTTTAAAAACTGATTTGAATTTAATTCTGGACTTCAGCAAAGTTCCTGACTTGAACTTAGACTTAGACTTTATTTTTTGTTAAACTCTTAAAAATATTTCCTTATTGCGCAAATGTCACTTCCCCTAACAGTTTAAACTGCTGCAGAACAGTTTTGTCCGTATACAATACAGTTTTCACTTTTAGCATTGCACATTTTACAGATTAATATGCAGTTTTTACTGAATATAATACAGTTTAGACTGATTTATAATGAAGTTTTCACTGTAAAAGTTGCAGTTTTGACTGAATAAAATGCATTTTTGACTATTTATTAAAAAGTTTTCACTTTAACAATAAAGTTTTACTGCCATTTTCAACTTATGAATATGCAATTTGTATTGTACACATTTCACTGAATATGAAACACAATTTTCACTGCATATGAAACAGAGTTATTACTATACAGCAATCAATTTATAATTTATGCATTTGTCTGAATGAAATGCAAGATTTTAATTAGAATTTCCATGTCAAAACAAAACTTATCACATTTCAGTGCTTATAAAGCACAGTTACAATATATACACAGTTTTATACACAGAACTAACAAAAGCAAACAAATAGATATCAAATTTAATTTGTTCATTTCCAGTTATCATTTCCAGTTATCATTTGCTAAATTATAATTGCTAAATTATAAATATAATCAGGTAAAAATGAGGAAAATATCATGTTATGTACACAATATTTATCATTCAGATATATGCAGAATGCAAGGTTACTGAACACTCATGAATCTTTATATATTGACAAATTTCAGATTATATTGTAAGTAACCCAAAGCCACTTTCGTTGTATGTATATGAGCCATTTTTCAATTATATGGCGGCCATCTTGGGTTTTTCAAAACATACCATGATTTTACATGTCTATCCAAAATTTTGTAAAATTGAAATATGTTGCTTTACATTGATATTTGTTTGTTTGTTTCATTTTCACCTTTTCCCAACAGTATTTCAGTCATATAGGCGGGGAGTTTCCTAACCATTGTTCCTGGAGAGTTACACCAGTACTAGACTACCTTCCTCCGAGCTAAACTACCAAAGCATCTCCCGGGGATCAAACCCAAGCCAGAAAAGTAACTGGATTAGAAGTCATTGACTCTAACCCCTAGACCACGGAGGCGGTACTTACATTGATATAACATGTATCCATGGACCTTTTTTGCACACAAAAGTTCCCCGAGGACTGTACTATTTGGAAATTTTTTAGTACATATTTGTCATGTGTACCCACGAGTGTTTTCCATTTTCAACATCATCATTTGACAGAATAATACTATTGAGGTTTCTATAATCATGTTTATTAGTTTGTTACCCTTAATTTATTATTGCACATTGAAAGAGCAGACTTGCATAAATGAATGAATTGCAATGCCTGATGAATACCTAACTAATTTAGATAAAAAAAGAATACTTAACAACTAATACAGATATTACTCTTACGGCTAAATTCTTAAATATCTAAAAATTGTATACTATTATAAGTGTAGCATTCTTGGCAGTTCAAGACAAAGAATTTAACAAATAACCACAATTTCGACTTATGACTTATATGTTCACTACAAACGAAGGCCGCATCATAAAATACTACAACAAAGCGCCAGCTCACCGTCTAGTACATTGATCTTGAGTCTTAATTATATATAATAATGAGAATACTGCAAAAACTAGTTAAAATCCTGCAGCAAATACAAACTGGGCAGCTGTCAGTATTCAAGCACCCAGGTACCAAGAATCAAAGTGCAAGCCAAAATAAAAGTGCTCAAATAAACCGGATCATGTAAATCAATTGCCCTACCTAAGGAATGCCCTGCAGTGTTAACTGGTGTTAATATAAAACTAATCTTTGTACAAATATACAATACACCTCAGTTCCTTTAATATATTTAAGATACACTTAATGATGAAACATCTCATGCAATAAAATATAAAATATGTTTAAAATAAATTACATTAAAAAACAAAAACAATTTCAAGTAATGTTCATTTAAAAACTATAAACCTATAGTAAACTATCAGTATTTGGTAGAATATTTGTTAATGTCTTAACAAACAATAATACCAAAGTATATACATTTTAAATATCATATTTCAAAATTTCATTAAAAAGCAGATAATGCATGCAAGAAATCATCGCCTTAAACCATTTATCCCATACAATGCTATATATCTGAAATGGTCTTGTCCATCTTTCAATCTCGACAAAACTTTTTATCATTGTTAGGGAAATTTTCATAAATATATACCAACTGAATAGCAACCACTGCAGAAATGCTTTGTAAGGGGATGTTTTATTCTGTGTTTCTTATGTATATATCTCATGTGTGATAAATCACACAGAATGTTTTGCTAAAACTTTCTACTGATATTGTACAAAGGAATACCTAAACAATGACCATCCTAATAATGAAATTTTCACATACATATATAATTCTATTTTCACCCTTTAAAACTGTAATAATTAAGATATACCATCAAAAGATATGACTAGAATGCATGCAAAATTTTGCCCCTCAGTTTATTTCCGTCTGCTGATATGCACATTTGATGCTTGTAAATGAACACAACTGATCACCTGCTGAATTTATATAATAGATTTGCCCTGATTGGAATTTGGAACAGTCCATTCAAATTTAATGGGATTTCAATGTGAAAATACAAAAACTGAGCTTCCAGCAGCATAGAGCCTGGTCAGAGTGCATATATGTCTAGACTGGCCTAGCTCTATACTGGTGGCAAAACTTAGTAATGTCAGCAACAGAAATTGTTGACCAATGATAAAACAACAACTATGATAACAATTACATTAAAACTTTGATACAAGAAAAAAATATAGAATACATGTACAATTCACTTATTTGTACAGACCTATTTTCATATGAAGACTTTAATTATATCATGGTGGAGACCCCCCGACAATATGTAGCCCTGATTATGATAATATTTATCTTGAATATGTATATCTATATCATGCAATATATAAATATGCCAGAAATAAATAATAAGCTTATTAAAGATATACTATGCTCATCCTTGAGTAAAATATACACACAGAAATTTATCTGAATCTATTAAATTCTCACTCAATATATCTAATTTGAATTAAATTATAAATAAACTGTGTATGGGAAGCTGCGATTCCTATTACGGGACAAGTAAAAATTTGTTTCGTCTTGAAAAAACTGCCAGTTTTTTTTAAATTACACTACATGTATATATTCATATTGTGACCACCTATAGTGTGTAGAATTTTACACATAACATTATTCATGTGAAGTCAAAACATGTTTATTTTATATTAAATTTTACAAAGAGACTGTGTAGCAATTATCAATATTTTCTAATATCAAATTTGAGCATAGTATATCTTTAATTCATCAAGTTACAACAAAATTATAATCTTCATTTATTTCTTGAATTTTCTTCAGATAAAAAAATCCAAAATGGTGGCCAGAGCAAAGGCAAGCCAGAAAATTGACTATTATCCTTTGTGGAAGTTGTGCATAAATAATAGGCATAAATTAGTATAGTGTTTATTTATTAAAAAGTTGACTTAGTAATAAGTACAACAATAAATATTTGACACAAGACAGCCATATCTTGTTTCATCTAACTATGACAAAGTTGAGTTGAATAATAATTCACTAGGTCTTACATTTTACAACATACACCCCTTATATTTGAGACATTAACATCAACCAAAAAAGACAACAAAAAATATCACCAAGACTTGCTTAATCAAACTATTACTCATATGGAAGTAAAATTGCACTTGTAAGAATTAAAACTATTTACAAGCAGTGATATTCTTCAATAAAAAAACAAATATGCAGTAATGGCACCATGATAAGAATTAAATTAATAAAAATTAATTAATTGAATTAATTAAAATTAATTAATTAATTTAATTCTACTACTCATGACTATGACATCTCCATACAGCTTTTTTTTATGAAGAAACTTGGCATTTTTCCAAAGTTTTACCAAAGTCTTTACGAATCTTAAAAGAAACCAGAACATACTTTTTTTACTTAATAGTTAATCACAATTATTCCATTTCTGAAAAAAAGGTCAGCAAACAAAACAATAAGGAAAATATTTCTGCCTCTACTATAATTTTTCTTACTTGTGAAAAAAGGGTCAAACTGTACTTTAAGGGAACACCAATAAAAACAATCCTTTCAAATGTTAAATTAAGTTTCCAGTCTCCAAAATTCCTTCTTACGTTCCTGGGACCGGAATAAAGGTTGGTTTATCAGAAGCCTTGTAAGCTTTCTTTGGCGTGTAAATTCCTACCTGCACCGGATATCTTGTTCCCGCGACATCAATTTCATACCTTGCTGTCGGGTCCTTAATATAATCATGGATTCTTTTCGTTATCACAGGTTTGCCATTATCGTCTAAATGATTAATATAACCTAAGCAAACAAATCGATCAAGCGTGAACCCATATGCACTTGACGTTGTAAGTCCGACTAGTTTACCATTTCTGTAAATTGGCTCTTTCCCTGAAGGCCAGACTTCTGCATCAGTGTCGAAGTTCTCTAACAACAGTTGGCAGAACTTTTTACTGATTCCGAACTCCTTCTGTTTAAGCAATGCTTCCTTGCCAATAAAATCCTTACGCTGAAAATATAATGGGAAATTTTATTATTTTAATTTATATTTGTATCATGTATCCATTCAACTAAATAGTTCTTAAACATTTCCTGTTATTAAATTCATTTGTCAAAAATTTACAATTTAAGCAAAATTCATTTGTCTATCTCATATACGAGTCACAATTTTTACCAACTAGATCGCTATTTAATCCTTGCCATACTAAAGTTTGTGTAATGGACTTGCCCTGCTTTGCATTGGAAACAGTCCATTAATGGTTTAAGGGATTTGGTATCAAAGTACTAAAATTCAAGATTTTGGTATAACAGTACTAAAATTCAAGATTTTGGTATCAAAGTACTAAAATTCAAGCATATTTATAATAATATATAATCTTGTTTGACTGCCAGATGAACAGGATGACCATTCTTCATTCTGTCAGTATAAGCAAATAATTATTGCAACAAGGAGTTTAAGCATCTAAGTGATTCCTTCCTTACTTGAGCAATTTATAACTTAATGAGAAAATTTTATCTTGAAAGAAAAAATTCATATTGCAATTATATATTTCTTATAGCAAATTCTACACTGTATTTCTATTAATGTCATATTTACAAAATTTACAACATAATTATGTGTATGTTACAAAGAATTAAAAATTATGTTTAGTTTTTTTCTTTATCAGATTCACATATTTTATGATAATATTTCATCAGCTTTAACTGATATCTTATCATACCTACTCCTCTGTATAATAACACAATGCACCACATTAAGGCAACAAAATGCAAAATATCTATATAAATATAATAGTTGTGAAAATCTAGCATGTGCTCGCAGTTTCTTTCTGTTTTTTTGTTGCTATGTAAGTCACACTAACAATCTTATGGTCATAGCTTTAGTGAGATGCCCGCTGTGAATTGTTGCAGACATGAGCAAGCACCAAGTAAAAACACTAACCTTGCATTAACAATAAACACTTGGCAAAAGTTGCCTCTGTGTTTATTTTATTATCTTTTTTTTTAAATAGATAATTATGTATAAAGGCTTAAGTCTAAACATAATTATAAACTTACAAAAGTTTAAATATCAAAGCTTTCATATGTACATGTAAGCTAAAATACTATAGCCTAGATATTAACAAAAATGCTGAAACTTAATATAAAACTTAAATACCAACGTATAAACTTTATTATAATACTGCACGTTTGTAACGTCGCTTTTCATTGGATCATCGTGATGTTTAAATAGTTTTATATACACGGCTGTTGTCGATTCATACAGAAATCTTTCTTTCGTTGAAAAATGATGCGTGCTGTATTATAAATTCATTATAAAGATTGCTGACAGGTTATATGGCCGTATATAAACGGCTGTTTGCAATATAACCCTCGCCTAGCGGCTCTAGTTATATTTACAAATAGCCATTTATATAGGGCCATATAACCTGTCAACAATCTTTATAACTAATAATATACAAAGTCATATCAACATAACAGGAGGGGGGTGGGGAGCATTCTTCAGTCTCATTCAACCAGTCTTAGATTATAATGAATATAAGACAGTAGAATTACAACAGGTGGTTTTCTTTAGATTTTAAAAATAATCATCCTTAGGCTCTCCAAAAATAAAAAAATTCTTATTTTCTAAGCTACAACAAAATTTTCCAGAACTATCTGAACAACCAGTTGTTGTTTTTCAGCAATCTTTATAATGAATTTATAATACAGCACGCATCATTTTTCAATGAAAAAAAGTAAGATTTCTGTATGAATCAACAACAGTCGTGTATATAAAACTATTTAAACATCACGATGATCCAATGAAAAACAACATGTTGAACACTATGCTGAATTTTCTAAATGGACTTGTCCCATTTCTATTTTTGGGACTGTCCATTATCAATTTTAGGGATATCAATTTGAATAATTAAAATTTGTCAGCAAACAGTAAGAATGTCAGACTGCAGATGTGTAGGCTGGCCTTGGTCTTAACTGATGCAGGCCTGTCGTCACGATTTTGTGATTGGTGCGGCCAATTTGGTAGATTTTAGCCAGAATCTAGGGGGGTACGGGGGCATGCTCCCCCGGAAAAATTTTTATTATTATGTTCTTATTATCTCCCTGTGTATTTTCACATTTATTCTTCTGAGCTCCGAGAATGTCCTTTCACTGGTAGCATTAGCAGCAGGCATTACTAACAAGTTCTTTAACAACACAACGACCTCTGTTCTTGCACCGATTGTTTTGACACAAATTTCAAAGCGTCAGGTAGAGTAACAGTACTATTTCCTGATTTGTCAAAATGTGAACGTAGCAGCTGAAGCTGCACCTCTAAGATGTCTCGGTTAATATCGTTGCCATATATATCACAAACAAAAACCAAGTTTTCTAGTGAACGGTCTTCAAAGGTTGTGCGGCCTTAATAAATAAATCCTCCACGTTCTGAAGTACGCGATATCTCGGTTGGTCAAATCTCTCTTTAACACTGGCCATGGCAATTAAGATCGATTGCTTCAAAATACTTAGGCCGGAACACGTCCTGCACTGTAATTATGTAATAGAATAATTGAATGAGTTTATTACTGAATTTATGTTAGAAGTTGAACGAGTTCAATAAATTCAGTAATGAACTTACACGAATTCAATATTCTGTTTATTACATACCAAAAATAAGTACCTTTTGAAGTGAAAAAGAACCATTTTTCATTGACGCCCATAGAAAAACGCTAACATTTAGATTGTATAACGCAAATGACGACAATATATATGCACGGCCGTGCAATATCATTTTCACGGAGTCGCAAAAACGGCACGGATCGCGATATGTGATAAAAATATGACTTTTGAACGGTTGCCGTGTACAATCAATAAAATATTATCAAGTTCTCGGAGAATTCAGGCATACTAGTTTAAGATATTCATAATTAATGCACATATATATACATGTATATACGGTGAACTGTCCGAAGCCACGTCGATGTCAATTAACTTCACATTTAACTTCGTAGGACCCCTACATATACCTGGCCAATCAACAGTGTCCATTTGTTACATTGTGTCATGTTTGTATGTTACCTCGTATTGCATAAGGGGCCAGTTAAGTGTCAAATTGCTAATCAGCGATGCGTGTTTTTTTTTTATTTATTTATTTATTTATTTTTTTTTTACTCATTTTTGGCCAAAATATTGGTCCGGCCGGACCATCGACGACAGCCTTGTGATGGCAAAGGCTTAACGCTTTCTGTTAACTTTTAGGGTTAATTGCTCTTAGCTAAATGAAAAAAAAAATCATCAAGCAGTATTTTCAATTTATCACATAATTTAATTAATGCAGCTCATTTTTCGTGTTAAATAATCATTATATGTTTTCTTTTTTTATATTAACACACATTTAAATAAATGTAATACATAGAAATTTTACCTATTTTTCTTCTGGCTTTATAAAATCATGTGATAAAAAAGATTCCTACTATCATCATCATTTCATACAGCCTTACATTGAACAAAACACTATCTCAGACTTGTTAAAAGGCCCATAAAGCCTCAAAAATGCTATCATTTTCAGTTTCTTGATGCTTCTTTACTTTAAAGTCCTGTTATACTTTTTTTCTCCTGGAAATTAGCATACAATATGCTCAAAATCAATCGATTCAACATATAAGATGCAAAAGAAAAATCTATTAATTTTGAATTTGTTTTTGTTTGATTGGGTTTTACGTCTAGGTCATATGGCAACGTTCAAGCTTTACTGGTGGAGAAAGACCTTTGATGCCCTTCCGTGCATTATTTCAGGCACAAACAGGCATCTTAGTAAAACCACCTACGTTCTGTAAGCTAGCTAAATAGCTTACTCACATGAAAGAATCCAAAGTCCCTGTTGGGATACAAACCCACAGCAGTGTCAGAGGGGCAAGTGGTTTGAAGTCATTGACCATTACCACTCGGCCACAACCACCCCCTCATTTTTAAGACTTAATGTGTCTTTAATGTAAATCTATATGAAATGATAGCTCCTATACTTAAGGTAGTGTCAATATCACAATAGTAAACATGTGTAATTTAGAATACATCATATCTGTTGGCTATGCAAGTGAGTATCTGCATAAAACAAAATTATTGTTAGCATTGGTTGGACCCCAATTCTTTATTGGCTGTATCACATTTTTTATTGGTTGTGTCACACAAACACTGTACAAGTAAAAATGGTGGTTTTACCATGTAACTAGATGAAAAAGAACTGGTGTTACTCTAGTCACTCTATGTATTATCACTGTAACATTATTTACTGCTTTCCATTTTGCTTAAAGGCCCATTAAGCCCCCCCCCCCAAAAAAAAAAAAAAAAAATAATGCTATAATTTTATAATTTTTTATTTCTCAAAACCTTTTTAATCTTGTTATCTTATTAAAGTTTCCAAAACACATTATGGTCATATAAATGAATATATAAATATCTTTTCCTTCTCTTGCTCTTTGACAACTTGTATAATTGTAGTGAGTTAGTATTTTAAATGGAAGTAAAAATACTACCTTGTTTACATTTTGCTACCTTTACAAAACATTCAGTGCTACTGTTTGCAGTTGCTCTAAATTCATTATTAAAATATCATCAAACACATATCTAACCTTTCTTCAGAATTAAAAAAATACTGATTTCTGAGGTATAATGTGCCTTTAAGTTTTATCAAAATGTGGCATGCATGCATTATTCAGCAACACAAAAATTACAAAATTACAACTTAGAACATTATTTGAAACATTATACAGATACAAGGAAATTTCTAGATGAGGGTGTTAACAGTTTACCATTTTAACAGTCCTAGTTTTGGTTAATACTGATTAATATATCTATATAATCATTAAATACCACTAATGTACCATTTTGATATCACATTCATATATCCCATTTGATATAACTACCCTATATCATATTTGATATCACTATCCAATATCCCATTTTGATATCACTATCCTCTATCCCATTTTGATATCACTATCCTCTATCCCATTTTGATATCACTATTCTATATCCCCTTTTGATTTCACTATCCTATCTCCCCTTTTGATTTCACTATCCTATCTCCCCTTTTGATTTCACTATCCTATCTCCCATTTTGATTTCACTATCCTATATCATGTTTTGAAATTACTATTCACCATGCAATTTTGATATCACTACCCTTTATCCCATTTTGATATTGTTTTCATTTATCTAATTTTGATATCACTACCCTTTATCTAATTTTGATATTGCATTTATTTATCTGATTTTGATATCACTATCCTACATGTATATCCCATTTTGATATCACTATTCAACATGCCCTTTTGATATAAATACCCTATATCCCATTTGATATCATTATCCTATATCATATTTTGGTATCATTATCCTTTATCCAATTTTGATATTGTATTCATTTATCCAATTTTGATATCACTACCCTGTATCCCACTTTGAATTTTCATTATCCTTTATCCCATTTTGATATTTCTTTATCCTATATTCAATTATGAAAAAAACTTTATGGTATATCCAATTTTGATGTATTCTATCCCTATTGATATATCAGGTTCATATTTTATTTTGATATCATAATCTAATATCTTTGATATCATTAATTTATATTCCAATATCCTACATCCCATTTTGATATATTCACTATCCTTTAATCAATTTTTAATATTACGAGCACATTGATACATTATTATTCTATATGTCATTAAGATATCACATTAATTTTATATATCTCATATGATACATTATTATCCATCTCATTATGTCAACTTATTTCCCTTGTGGTCTAGTAGGACATTGAGCTTTTCTCTTTATTTCATAGGGATGGGTTATTTTTTCTCTGTGTATTCAAGGCAAGGGGCAGTTTTTCCTTTCCTTTTTTTAGATAATGGGTTGATATAAATCATAACTGAGATTTAAAAAAAAAAAAAATGATAATAATCTTGCTGTGTATGAAATATGTTCAGCTATAATAATATGAGCCGTGTCTTGACAAAACCAACATAGTGAGTTTGCGACCAGCATGGATCCAGACCAGCCTGCGCATCCGCAGCAGTCTGATCAGGATCCATATAGTTCGCTTACGAACTCTATAACAAGTAGAGAAACTGATAGCAAACGCACTATGTTGGTTTTGTCGTGACGTGGCTCATATGTTGTTATCAAAGCAGAATAAAAGAGGTGGAGAAGATATAATATACTGTAATATACGATATAACAGTATGCAAAATACTTACAGGGAATGTGCTGTACTACATGATTATAAATATATAATATACAATAATCTTAGAATTATTAGAACAAAAACATTCAGTATAATATTCAAGACTTCAAAAAAAGGTAGGAATTAAGAGCCATAGCTTTAATTTTGTTAGGTTTTTTTGCTTTAGATTGAAGAAGGTGTGTTTTGATGTATATTTTGTACAATAATTGTGTTTAAATCATAGAAGTCCAACAAAAAGATTTTTTTCATTAGTTCACTATTATGTAAAACAAGTGTAGGCCTACCCTGCTGGAAGTTTGATTAATTAAATAAATCTTGAGATCTTTATAATACTTATAACATAATTATCATATTGCATGATTAATAAATGCTTACCACCAGTTGTCTTTTTGTTACAGAAAAAAAACCTTAAATGTTAAATTTATAGGTTGATTAATTATCATACTTAGATATTTAGAAGAAAAAAAAATTCTAATGAATGTACATGTCTTATAATTACAACCTGAATAAATTATTTCACACAACTCACTGCCATCTATAATCACAAAATCTAATGATACATGGGGAAAACGTAAAAAATGTGCAAATGCAATATGGTTGTAAAATTTTTCATGAATTATCTTACATCAAGGCTAACTCTGAAATCTCTTCCTGTCTCGTAAGGTGTGGTCATAGGATCCATGTCTGTCCCCCAGTACGCAAATAATTTCTCTATACGCAAGTGGCGGAGTGCCATGTAGCCTGCGTTTCTTATACCATAATCCTTTCCTGTTTTCATCAACATCTCGTACACGTGTAATGCATACTGAAAAACAAATATATTCTTATGACACAAAATGCTCTATTTATAATCTGTTAGTATTTTGTTTGTTGGTTGCAATATAAGTTACACCATCACTGTAATGATCATGTGGCGACTTTCCAGATTTTCTGGTGAAGAATGACCTCAGTTGTGCTTTTGTACATTATTTCAGATACAGGTGGGAACCTTAGGAGAACTATTGTTGACCCTCTGTAAGCTAGCTGGATAGCTTCCTCAAACAAATGAATCCAAAGTCCCTGGTGGGATTCGACCCCATGGCAGTGAGGGCAAAATTATGCGAATTCAACAACCTTAATCACTTAGCCATGGAAGACCTATATTATAGGAAAACTTATTAAAATTTAACTTTTGATGTTATTTAGAAGTCAAGGTCACACTCTTCCAGGCCAAAAATGAAGCAATTATCTAAAGATATATTTTTCAATTCAAAGTATTAATGTATATACCTATAACATACACAGTATAAATGAGTGTGACTCACCTCTGATGGTATATACATGACAAAGCCATCTTCTCCACAATGTGTCAATCTCATCGTAATTATATTACTGGCATAACCAACATCTATCACCTGTACCAAACAAATCAACAATATAACAACCAAAATTAATGATAATTCTTATGTCTCCATAGGTCCTATAATTCTTTTTTATTTCTATACATGTATATGATCTTACTATTACATAAACTATGAACTCCTGTTAGTTCAAAGCTTGGGTACAGTGCATTTGTCTATGACAGGATTTTAATTTCAGCAATACAGAGCTTTTTCTGTTCCAAAGCTTGGGTAAAATTCTATTTGAATTTAACTATCCATTTTTTCCCTAGAAAGACTTCACAGCTTGGCTTGTACAGCATCCAGTCTACGTATCTATGATTCACAGATTTGAGGGATGGGCTAAATATGTATTCTTCTGAGATGATCTTTATTGACATATGTTAGAACCATTAACTATATTCACCGTTATTTTAAATGACTGACTCAGAGAAGTTTTAAAATGGCTTGGCAGTTACTTGCAGGGATGAAAAAACAACAACAACATTAGAGAAATTTTAGAAATATTCATTGTTACTGGCACACTGACTGACTAGAACTTAACCCAGCTTTCAAATGTGCTTAGGGTTTTCTTATTATTTCTTAAAATCTTTTTTTGTTTATTTCAACACTGCATTATAAACATTTTAATGTTTTGAAATTAAAGGAGCATGCCTCCAGATTCATGCTAATTATTGTGATTTTTTTTTTAATGTACTAAAAAATAAAATATTATCAAAGGAACAAATAAAGTGATTTACAAATCACAAACAGCACTAAAATCTACAAAAATTGCCAATTATAGGTCAAAATATGCAAACATAGCCCTTACTGTGTTCATAACGCAGTAGACATATAGTGATAAATTCTGCAAAATTAGTCCTTACTGGCATATGACATGAAATTATTTTTTGAACTGTGCATATTTTTACTTTTCTTAAAATCTTAGTACATATTTCTCAAGTTCGATTTTATTGAAATATTTTGACTCATCTAGAAGGATGCAATTTTAACAAGAATTCCTTTCTGAGATTCTGAAATTATACATACTTGGCAAGTCATAGGTTTAAAGTCATGTTTCCTTGTAGACGTATCTGTTACATCATTTAGCAACTGCTCGGCATGGGGACCAATCAGATTTAGGCCAGAGTACATGGACGTGACATCCCGCACCTGGACAGAACCATCTTTGGGCAAATGCTTTTGAAGCCAGAACATGCACCTGGTCTGCTGGGTGGTTGGCGCAATTAGGAAGAAACTAAAACAGACAAAAGAAAATAATTCTATGAAAATTGTCTGATGTAATTTTACATTTTTTTATAAACATTGCCATTAAATAATGACCCCCTTTAAAAATATACTATAAGTTAATATACTCTTAACTTATAGTATATTTTTAAAGGGGGTCATTATTTACATTTTTTTTTGTTTTTTTGACACTTTTAAGATGAACACAGGTTTTTTATCAATCTGGTCATATTTTTTCTTCCCAGGTCCGATACTCGTGCCTGTGCCATGTTGGAGAAGAAAAAGATTTTAAACTAATCAAATGATAATCTCCTTGATATAATGCTCATTCATCAACGATAGATGTTTACCAGTGAAATACCATATATATCTCTCATAGTGAAAAAGTATATTTTAAAGCTACATTAATCTAATACACTAAACAAAATTATCTATAGATCCAATACTAAATTTTTGATTTTAAGAATTTCAGACCCAAGTACAATAAACTTTAATAACTTTGTTAGCAATCTATCATCAATAAATATAAGAAATATATATTGTTGTATATGTACATTATAGTTTCACTATTGACAATAGAAAATTCCTATACATGTATATAGTAACTAGCAATAGATAAAGTTAACCTACATTTCTACAAGTATTGATTGCTAACGCTGAAAGGATCAAAGAAAACAACACTTCACAGCTAAGAAATATATGGCTTTTTGTTGTTTACATATATTAACACAATGGCAGCTACTATTTTGAAGATTTGGTGACAATTTGTAGATAATTTGACATAATATCACTATTCCTTCTATACAAGACCTTTTGCAGCCTATCAAACTGTATTTACAGTATGTCTTTACTAGTTACACTTTACTTTTCAACATATATAGATAGTTCTTCTTTTTTTCAAATTATTCATGAAACAATGCCAAATTACTTGAAAATTGTCTCCATACTTAACAAACATTTGCTGTCATGTTGACAGTATATGATATCACAAAAGTTACATATTCCTACTAGAATTAAACTTAAACAGATCAAACTATTTTTGTAATACACATTGTGAGTGATATTGTGACATTAGCGGTAACTCTGGGTCACCGCTAATGGTATTAACTATTGGATAGTTTTTTGTTATATCTTTCAATACTTAAATAGTTAACATACGATTCACTGGTCATATTTTGGCAGTCAGTCCATCAAACAGACTTTCCTGGAAAACTAAGCAATCACTATAAATTTCTCTATGATTTAATAAACTTCTAAATCCACATAATTTTGGAATCAATGGTAAGAGACAATTAGACCATTACACTTATTGTCCAATATCAATTGTCATTGAGAAATTGTTACCTTGTCCTAGGATCAAACAAGCCACACCTGGACAACAAATATATAGAGGATATTTGTTTAGTTCAGTGTAAGATTGGGATATATTTCACCGAGTGAGCACCAAAAGGTTAATTTCACGAGTGGCACAGCCACGTGTGAAATATGAACTTTTGGTGTTCACAAGGTGAAATATTTTGAGATCTTACACTAAACTTAAACAAATTTTCTTTTTATTACATGCAAAGAAATGTTTAAAAAGAGATTTTAACCTAGTACTAAATGAAAAGCACGCCAAATAATAATGCAACATGACATTATTTAAGACGTCACGTCATTAAGTTGGTTTCCAGTACTGTGCACGCTGGTATTACACTGAAACAACCTGAGGGGCTTAAATTAAAAACAGTGAAATAATCAAATTGATAATTTCACTGTTTCAAACAGTGAAATTACCAGTTTATATATCACTGATATATTTCTATAAACCACCGAAAAGCATATAATAAGATGCTCTCCCTATTCAGCTAAGCTGGCGGGCTCATATTTTAACTGTAGGAGTAACTTTAATAAAAGTTATTTCAATACAATAGGGAAACTTCAAAACTGTAATAAACATGTACATGTACTACAAATAGTCTACAATGGCTGGGAAGTCAATAAACAAGAGGGCCATGATGGCCCTGAGTGGCTCACCAGAAACAACTGCTTTTCAGTGTTGGAAATTATCCATTGTCAATATTTTTTGGTATTAAATTTGAGCATAGAATATGTTTAAACAATAATTTGAAGAAATGCCATGACCTGGGGCATTTAAGCTTAAGCTAAAATGGGGCCAATCAAATAAATATGAGCAAACTTGATAAAAGACTACCTAAGAATGCTACAAAGTTTGGTGATCATCTATCAATTATTTCAGTACGAAATGATGTTCAAAGATTTGTCTATTTTTTAGCCCTTGGCCAATCAAATTAATATGAGCAAACTTGATAAAAGACTACCTAAGAATGCTACAGACAAAGTTTGGTGATCATCCATCAATAAGTTCTGTAGAAATAGACATTAAAAGGTATATTTTTTTTTGCTTTAGCGGCCCCTAAAAGGGGCCAATCAAATTGATATGAGAAAACTTCATAAAGAACTACCCAAGAATGCTACAGACAAAGTTTGGTGATCATCCATCCATTAGTTCGGTAGAATAAGATGTTTAAATTACCCCTAGAGACCCCTAAAAGGGCCCCATCAAAATTAATATGAGCAAACTTGATAAATGACTACCCAAGAATGCTACAGATCATCCATCAATTAGTTATGTAGTATGTTTAAAGGTTTTTCTATTTTTAGCTCTGTTGACCCTTCAAAGGGTCCAATTGAAATGACATGACCAAATTCAAGTGTGACTGTCACAAGGATGCTACAGACCAAATTTGAAGTAAATCTCCCCAGCAGTTTCAGAGAAGAAGATGATTGTTTACGCATGACGACAGAGCATCCCCCTTTGATACTAATAGCTCACCCTGAACCTTCGAATCTGGTGAGCTAACAACAAAACCAATCAACTATATATATAGTATGTTAAGTAGAAACAGTTAATTAGTAGAATACTAAACAATATCATGCTGACAATTTACCTGAATGTATGAGTGCTGCAATAAATGAATATATATTAAAGTATTAGGAGTTAAAATGACTGCACAATTAACCCTTAACCTGCTGAATTTCTTAAATGGACTTGTCCAACTTCCATTTTTGTAAACTTTATTTTTTTGTTTTGTTTGGTTTTAGGGTGCATAAACACAATTTAGGTCATATGGTGCAGAAACAGGAAATATGATTTTGACTAACCTTGGGTTTACAAACTTAAAGCAACACCATAAGTAACAAGAGCACCGCTAGGCGGAGCATTATATGCCCGAAAGTGTTTTTTTCTTTACTAAGGATGAAGCATTTGTAAGACATTACATAAATTCAATAAAGTATTACCTCCTTCAAATAGCAATCCTCCTATAAAGTTTGAATATTGTGGGCCAAATGGAACTTCAGTTATGCCCTGGAAACTGTTTTTAGTTTTGAGGTAATAGCTACCTTGAAATTTGACCGTGTGACCCCAAAATCAATAGGGGTGTTCTACCCAATATGGACAATCATCCTATGGAGTTTCAACACTATGGGCCAAAAAGAAATTAAGTTATGTTCTTGAAACTGTTTTCAGTTTTAAAGTAATAGTGACCTTGACCTTTGACATTGTGACCCCAAAATCAATAGGGGTATTCTACCCAATATGGACAATCATCCTATGAAGTATGAATATTGTGGGACAAATAGATCTTAAGTTATACCCTAGGAAACTGTTTACAGTTTTAAGGTAAAAGTGACCTTGACCTTTGACCTTGTGACCTTAAAATCAATAGGGCTCTTCTACCCAATATGGCCAATCATCCTGTGAAATTTGAATACTGTGAGCCACATGGAACTTAAGTTATACTCCAGAAACTGTTTTCATTTTTAAAGTAATAATGACCTTGACCTTGTGACCCCAAAATCAATAGGGGTCTTCTACCTAATGTGGACAATCATCCTATGAAGTTTGAACACTGTCGGCCAAATGGAACTTAAGTTATGCTCCGGAAATTGTTTTCAGTTTTAAGGTCATAGTGACCTTGACCTTTGACCTTGTGACCCCAAAATCAATAGGGGTCTTCTACCCAATATGGACAATCATCCTATGAAGTTTGAATACTGTGGGCCACATGGAACTTAAGTTATGCTCCGGAAACTGTTTTCAGTTTAAAAGTAATAATGACCTTGACCTTTGACCTTGTGACCCCAAAATCAATAGGGGTCTTCTACCCAATATGGACAATCATCCTATGAAGTTTGAATACTGTCAGCCAAATGGAACTTAAGTTATGCTCCGGAAACTGTTTTCAGTTTTAAGGTCATCGTGACCTTGACCTTTGACCTTGTGACCCCAAAATCAATAGGGGTCTTCTACCCAATATGGACAATCATCCTATGAAGTTTGAATGCTGTGGGCCAAATGGAACTTAAGTTATGCTCCGGAAACCAAATTGCTAACGGACGAACGGACAGACGGACGGCCGGACGGACGGACGGACGCCAGGGGGTATAACATTATATGCCCGAAATTCTTTCGGGCATATAAAAATCCTCTCACTTGCTACAGCTTATAGATGCATAGACTCCAGTAATTCGAAACCCATTTAGTTGCCTCTTACAATCACTCAGGGATAAACTGTGGCTATAATTCTGATGCTTCAACCCTTACAGGGAACCTCTCAGCCACAAGGAGGTTTTTGTCAGTTTTGGAAATATAAAGATGAAAATTTGAATGCTGGTCAGCCTACACTATTGAATCATGTCAGCTTGCATAGAAATGCAGGCTGAATTGGTTCTAGACTGATGTCGAAGGGGAACTACATTCAGTTTCAGACAAAGGGGAACAACTTTTGGTTCCAGGCAAAGGGGAACAACTTTGATTCCAGCAGGGTAAAGGTTAATCCAATCCAATCTTGTACTGAATATTTTTGGTTTCTGTTTACATGTTATGATCAACACAAAGAAATCTCATTATTTGTTATCAATTTTAAAATTTAATAAAGCACTTTATTCTATGGTATGTTTATTTTCTTTTTTTTTCTTGCTTTCAAAGTTTAGCTGGTGTTGAGAAATGTTACAAGACAAAAATACAAATAAACAACCACAGCAAAAACAGAAAACATTGGTTTAAGTTGTCACATAAAACTGACAGTAGTTAAATATCAACAAATTAACAAGAGCCATGTCAACATGGCCATCCCCCGCCGAATGTGTTTGCTCATTGGAAGAATGTATATGTAGTACAGGAGAATAATTCCATTTTAAGAGGTCTTTTGGTAATGAAAACTGATGGCTATAGTGATTACAGATTTGAAACCTATGTGAATTCTGATGGCTGAAAATAACAAAGGGCAATAACTGAAAAATAATGCAGGGTAGGTTATCATTCTTGTGTGCTGCATCCCTCCTCAGTAAAATCTATCCACCTATGAAGTTTCAAGTTGATACCTCAAATACTTTTTGAGAAAAAAATTGAATTGAAAAATTAAGTATGAAAAATAACAAAGGGCAATAACTCAAAAATTATAAAAGGTAGAGTTATCATTCTTGTGCACTGCACACCTCCTGAGTTAGATCTATGCACCTATGAAGTTTCATAATGATATCTCAAAGGCCTTTTGAGTTATGCTCTGGACAAAAATTAATTTTGAAAAATAAAAAAGGGCAATAACTAAACAATTATGCAGGGTAGAGTTATCATTCTTGTGCACTGCACTCTTCCTCAATGAGATCCATCCACCTATGAAGTTTCAAGTTGATACCTCAAATACTTTTTGAGATAAGCTCCGGACAAAATAGTATGAAAAAGAACAAAGGGCAATAACTCAAAAATTGTACAGGGAAGACTTATCATTCTTGTGCACAACATTCCTCCTCAATAAAATCTATCCACCTATGACATTTCATGTTGACATCTCAAACACTTTTGAGTAATGCTCCACTCGGGTGAAAAATTAGGTATGAAAAATAACAAAGGGCAATAACTCTAAAATTATGAAAGGTAGAGTTATCATTCTTGTGCACTGCACACCTCCTGAGTGAGATCTATGCACCTATGAAGTTTCATTTTGATATCTCAAAGGCTTTTTGAGTTATGCTCTGGACAAAAATTAATTTTGAAAAATAACAAAGGGCAATAACTCAAAAATTATGCAGGGTAGAGTTATCATTCTTGTGCACTGCACTCCTCCTCAATGAGATCCATCCACCTATGAAGTTTCAAGTTGATACCTCAAATACTTTTTGAGATAAGCTCTGGACAAAATAGCATGAAAAAGAACAAAGGGCAATAACTCAAAAATTGTATAGGGAAGAGTTATCATTCTTGTGCACAACATTCCTCCTCAATAATATCTATCCACCTATGACATTTCATGTTGATATGTCAAACACTTTTTGAGTTATGCTCCACTCAGGTGAAAAATTAAGTATGAAAAATAACAAAGGGCAATAACTCTAAAATTATGAAAGGTAGAGTTATCATTCTTGTGCACTGCACACCTCCTGAGTGAGATCTATGCACCTATGAAGTTTCATGTTGATATCTCATAGGCTTTTTGAGTTATGCTCTGGATAAAAATCAATTTTGAAAAATAACAAAGGGCAATAACTCAAAAATTATGCAGGGTAGAGTTATCATTCTTGTGCACTGCACTCCTCCTCAATGAGGTCTATCTTGAAGTTTCAAGTTGATTACTCAAATACTTTTAGAGATATGCTCCGGACAAAAATGTCAGACGGAAGGACGGACGGACGGAGACTATTTCTATATCCCCCGCCGTTTTTTCGGCGGGGGATAATTATGTATGCATACAACTTATCAGCAAGTACAATTAACACCAAATCTTCTACTACGAGTGATGATCAAAAATAAACCAGACTGTGACTGTCAATTCGAGAATTTTCAACCTATAACTTATTGTTATATATCACACTAAATCGGAAAACAAAACCTATAAGTTGATGCTATATCTAATATGATAACTCAAACAACTTGTCCGTAACAGCGAATTTAAAAACCATGGTAACGCAAACCCGGCGCAGTGCGTTAATTTACGCTGACATGAGGCGCTATATGATGCATATATTTTACAATATGGCACATTTAGATTTCAAAATACGCCAAAACGTCATGAGCTATATCCTTGACGTTGTCAGAAAATATGACTTCATTCAAACTATATTTATATTTGCTATCACAATTCAAACGTCTTATGTTAAAGAAATATTTGCGTTAAAACTTTGTTGTCAGAACGTCTTGAAAATCGGTCAATAACAAAAGGTTGTCAATAATGAGGTGACAAACTGTTTAGAACGTAAAAAAATGATTATGTCTAACTAGGAAAAAGTTCCAGGAAGCCACAGCATAGTTTTTGATTAGCATAAATGATTAAGAATGGGTAATAGAGAAATGGAAAACAAGTAAAGGGGCATCAGAAAGAAAAAAATTTCAACGACGTTGGTGACGTCAATCGCCGAGACTTTGAAAAATGATAGTCAATTGACACGATGTTTGACAGCAGGTACGGGGCGGTTCAGGTTCAGTCAAATATAACTAAGGATCTCTAATTGTTAATGCATTAATTACATATATTACATTTTTAGTTTACAAATATTATTAAGTATTAATTATTTTATTATTTCTCGTAGTAGAGATTTTTCGTATGGAGAAATTCATTCTGTTAACAATTTAACAGTCACGGTTCAAAATCGGCTATGCATTTTGTTTATTTAAAATAGTGTCAATATTTTTTCTTAGTTGTATTATTCTTTAATTTTCTCGTATGGAAGATACATTATCATTCAGCAACATAATATTAATGCAAAATATAATAAAGTTCATTGCATGTGCGATTTGTCCGCCAATCAAGTTACAGAAGGAAAGAACGGAACTTTGCGTCATTACAGGGGCTCTTTATCATCATTCATTCTATTACAATACAATATGTTACCGACTTGTAAAGAGATATATTAAGGCGGTGGATCCGCCACCATCAACAACACATGGAACACGTATTGGCCTTCTTGAGAATGAGTAAAAAGCTGCTCCCTTTAAGACAATATGCTTGTGACGTCATTAACGTCGATTTTAAAGTTATAACGTGCGTCGCATTGCTTTACATGTACATGCAAATAACAGCATAACTTTTTAAATTGTCAATATTTCTTGTTGGTATTTTTTGTATTAATTAGAGGATAGATTCCGATTTATGTTACGTGTACTTTTATGTAAATGCGTTCAACAGGTAAGAAATCATCTACAAAGTCCGGTTAATTTTTTATCATCCCTCGTATATAAAACATACAGTATTTGTAAAATACAATTGCCATGGTCCTAAACCTCTTTATGAAAAATTGATGTTAAAATCTGCCTCAATTTTGAAAATTTGACCTTGAAAGTGAAGGTCATTTATGGACAATTTCAGGCATATGATTCTTAAGTCAAGCTTCCCCTAACAGAATTAAAATTTTACGGCCTAAGGTTAAACTTCCTCTTTGAAGATATTATGGCAAATGTAAAGTTTTTCAAAAAAAAACAATAAAAAAAAAAATCTTACAAAAAAACATTAACAAATAAAAACTGACCGCTTGGTGCAAATACCAAAACACCTCTTTTTATTTCTTAAAAGTTACATCTGTTTTGCACCATGGCTCTCCATAATGTTGAATTTTCAATAGCACAAATCTAAAAATTCTATAGTTATATCTGTTTTACACCACATTACATTTTCAAGAGCACAAATCTAAAAATTCTAAAGAAAGCAATGGTATAATATATATAAATGAATGATACATACGTGTTATCTCGGAGCGGCACTATACTACAGTCATTCTCGTAGCCACCTTGTTTATTCAACATGCCTGTATGTATCACAGTACCAATACCTTGACCTATATCGTTACTACACATGTACTGTAGAAACTCTAGTGCTTCTGTCCCCTTTGACTGAAAATAAGCAATGCATACACTCTAAAACAAACCTTGAAAAGATACAAATCCAGCTGTCAAACTGCAAGACAAATCGGGGACAACAATTATACTTTGGACAGATTGAAACCTAAAAACCTGTCAGAAGATAATATTGAACAGTACTCAACTACAGGATTGTAAGATATTCCAACATAATCTGGAATACTTAACATATTTTTCTACAGGTAATAAGTTCTGGATGGTATTTACCCTGATTTCAATCTGGAAGTACTGTAAAACTGAATGTTTCAGCGTATCGAAAACTTTCAGACATTTTGCGTGAGGAAATATTAGCGAATCGTGCAAGGGTAGAATTTAATGAAAGATTGGTTGATATTTATGCTAGGGGAAATTATAGCGATTTTCCTCAATTTGCAAAAAAAAATTTGCCAATATTTCTGTTTTGCTAACTTAATCACTTATACAGTACTGGCCTTGATTTCAATCTCTAGAAGTATTTACCTTTATTTCAATCTTGGTAAAGGAAGACATGTCCACAAGACACACACGTTCCTTACATGCCTGATATTCTAACTTGACAGCATTGAACCAACCAGGCTTCCCAAATGTTCCTTTTGCCATTTCACTGGCATCTATAAACTCTTCAACATCTGTGATACAAGAAAACAGGAAAAGAATAAAAGGTCTATTACAAGAATAGTAAGTTATGAACAGAATACAGTAGAATAAATTGTACCCAAACGATAAAGTCTTGTTCAATCATCAAATTCTAATTTGCTATAATATTTCAAGTCCTAAAATCAATTACAAGTCCTTAATTATAAATTATAAACCAGTGTGAATATGTAGTCTCACACTTTTTGTTGTTTGGTCCAACGTCGCACCAACATATAGGTCATATGGCGACTATTCAGCTTTATTGGCAGAGAAAGACTTCAGGTGCCGTTCTGTGCAAATTTTAATGCACAATCAAACGCCTGAGTAGAACCACCGACGTTCCCTAAACCAGCTGGATAGCTTCCTCACATGAAAGTCCCTGTCCCTATTTAAACCCACAATGGTGAGGGTTAAGTAGTTTTAAGTCAGTGACCTAAACCACTCGGCCAAATATGCCCCTTAAGTTTCAAACCATTGAAATGAATTATTACTTTGAAATCCTAAATTACAGATAATGTTTGATATGCAAGTCCTAAATTACATATAATTTATAGATTTCAATTCCTAAATTACAGATAATGTTTGATATGCAAGTCCTAAATTACATATAATTTATAGATTTCAATTCCTAAATTACATATAAACTATGACTTACCATCATCACTGTCTGGTACAAACCACATGGCTCTTTCATAAGCATTGGTTTCTCCAAACTTAGCCCCAGAAACCTTCAATTGGGTATGAATAGGTGAGGAGCGCAGATTTCTACCACTGGAGAACTGATTGTACGAGTATTTCAGGTGATATAAAGCTGTAAAAGACAAGATGTAAAGATAAGAAAAATAAAAAAATTGTGTAAGTTTGTTACTTTGTTTATCTGGTTTTTACACCATTTTGAACACATTTTTGGCCATATATTGGCAGTCAGTCCAACTTACTATTTATTCTGGATAACTAACCAGACAAATGACATTATGACTCAATGTCTGACAACAACTGTCAAAGACAAGTTTTGCCCCAACTGAGTATCAAAAACAGCAACCCCTCGATTACAAATTCGCCACTTTCCCTATTGAGCTAGGTGTGATTGTTAAAAAAAATGTTATAAATATTGTATACGAAAAATAAGTATCCATCTTTGACAAATGATTCCTTTCATTTCTTGGAAATATTCCAGGCAAATACAGTAGAACTTCTATGAGTTGAACTTCGATTTGTCGATTTTCTCGATGTGTCGAAGAAAAATGAAAGTCCCGACTTTCCCCCCTATATATTCCTTATAAGAAACTTTTTTATGAGTCGAAATTTTATGTGTCGAATTTTTCGATGTGTCGAGTTTTTTTCGTGGTCCGTATAAAATAAATGTAGTGCAATTTACAACAAATAAGTCAAAGTCCGTGGATTGTTTTGACACCTTTGATCTCGAGACATTTTTCACACCTTATCTGGCTGCGAAGATGATTTCCTATCAACTTGTGTGATCAAACAGCCTTTGTTTGCGATAAAATGTGTGATAAAATGCTTTAATTGTAACTATTTTAATTGCCGTAGTGGTATTTGAAAGAAAACTTTCATTTGAAAACATCCTTGACCCGGTGTCGCGTGAAAATAACCCGCATAATATTAACTATAAGCTGGTTTAGTTATCGCCCTTTCGTATTCATATGCCTTTTGTAACTCTTTGGGTAGCCGTGAAAAACGTTATTTAACATGCTATATTTATCATTGTAAAATGTTAATATCAGATTAATGTTGGAAAAACATGAAATAGGTTTCGTTATAGATCTTATAATAAGACTAGTCACGGGTCGAAATTTTGTCATGGAATTGAGAGGGATTCATGAGTCGAAGTCCCGATGTGTCGAAGTTTTTAAGCAAGTCCCTTCAACTTCGACTTATCGAAGTTCTACTGTACCATGTGATTATATAATAAAAGCTTTGGTAGTGAAACGGTAAAATGGCTATTTACTTTATACCCTCACAAAACTTGACAAAATGAGATTCATACCGATTGTTTCTTTCACCCGGTCTCTAAGGAACTTCTTGTTGCTATGATGGGGTACAAATCTCTGTATATCACATGGCCATAGATTGGTAAGACTTCCATATCCATCAATAATAAGTTCTGACAAATATTTCCCTACACCACCGGCCCCCTGTATACCTCTAGAATGCATGCCAGCCGCCACATAGTAGTTATATACCTGTAATATAGTCAAAATTTCTATTAGTATGAACATTTTAATAACAAATATAATTTGGTTCAAGTTAATTTTAAATTCTTATCATTTCTTTCTTTATAATGTATAATCTGGTTCATGTGAGCAGAAGCAGAAGTATTTTTACAGGTAAGAAGTAAGACATTCTAACTGAGCTGAATATCATCAAACATTATTGAAACTCTTAAATGCAGGTAAGAAGTAAAACATTCTCACTTTGGTTAATATCTTCAAACATTATTGAAACTCTTAAATACAGTTTCATACATCAAACATTATAATTGGTTTATTAGAGCAGAAAGCAGAAGCATTTTCACAGTTAAGAAATAAATCATTACTTTGTTGAATAACTTTCAACTTTACATGCAAGCAGCAAAAGATTCTACCCATGAGACCATTGGAGACTATATTCCTATGAATTGTTGGCTATTTAAAACAGAAAAGACTTAATGTTTTAAACTCTTAAATACAGTTTTTCCATTTCATACTTCAAACAATATACACTTTTACTTAAGAGGTTAATAAATTATTCTAATCTGTCAAACATGTCAACTATATAGAGGATATTTGTCTGTTTGTTGTGTAATATGAAATTTTATTTCATCAAGTGGGCTTTAAAAACAGTATTCTCACGAGTGGCGTAGCCACGAGTGAGAATACTGTTTTTAAAGTTCACGAGATGAAATAAAATTACATCTTACACAACAAACAGACAAATTTTCTTTTTATTTTATGCTTTAAAACAAGTTAAAACGAAATTTCCATAATTTTAACGTTAATATTAAAACTGTTTCCCCCATTGAGAGCCCCATTTAGAGGGAATATCTCATTAAAAACAAGAAGTCTTGAGCTGAAAAATAAGTCCGCCAATCAAGGTTAAATGACGGTGATATTTCTTCATTTTTATTAAAAAAATATTAATAATAAAAACAAACAATTCTTGTAGGAGAAAAAGTCCAACCATCCATCCATATTTCTGTTACTTACTGCAAATTTATATTAGACCTGGCTTTGTAAAATGTAAGCGGCAGCCATTTTTTAAAGTTGTGTATTTCATGGGAGGAAAATAATTGTGTAAGATTCAGAAGGATATAATTTGGATTTGTTAGTCATACACCTTTTTAAAAGAAAGAAAACTTATTTGAGGATTGTAACAGACAAAACATAAGTGTTGACAGAAGTGAAAACATTCAGAAAAGGAGCTAGGAAAATGGAAAACTTGGAAGCTTGCAAAGGCATTGTAACTGTTGTAAGGAACGCTGGGTTGTTTTACTTATTTTACGAGTGATGGCTGTCAATGCTTTTCAATTTTTCATAAAGCATACGGCAGTTATTGCTCGTAGGATACTTTAATATGCCCAAATGTCATCAAGAGCAGTTTAGCATGGGGAAGGAATGTATTTTTCAGACTGTAAAAAACGAAACAAAAAAATTTAGAGACGAAATTTTGTAATTGGAATTTGAAGGAATAGAAGTAAGTTTTCTCTCTTTATTACTTTTGACATTTAAGTTATTTATCTATTTCAGCCTTGCTATTTTTTTTTTACAGCCTGATATTGTCAGAATTGTCAGTAAAAGTAAAATTGAGGTACCACATGGGGAAAATCTTAAAAAAGTAGTTTCGTCATTGAAAAAGTGAAATTATATTTTGATATTTTTCACTGTGAAATTATCAAATATAATTTTCACGGATAAATCAGTAATCCACTGAAAAGCATAAAATAAATAATGACTATCCTCACCTCTGAAGATTCTCCAAGAATCCAGTTCTGATCTGGTGTGAAACTCTCCGGACCGTTCGTAAGCTGGCGAATTTGAGCATCATTCAACTGTGGCATACGATTTAATATTCCCTCTAACAAAACATCTAAAAATAAAAAAAGCATTTATTTAAAAATTCAACATCTTTTATCATTTATCAAAGTCTGATCAACTCCCTTTGCTATATACATGTTTAAATATTTTGTGAAAAAAGCAAGAAAAGTATCTTTTAAACAAATCATGTTTGGAATTGGCACCCAAAACTTTTGAAGAAATCCAACAATAAAAAAAGTGCAAAAATTATATAGGTTGGCATGTCATTTATAAAAGCAGTTAATTCCAATGAAATATATAGAATAATAAAAATCTTTAAGTGTTAAATATTCTGTAAGTGGGTGTAATATGGACTATGTTTAAAGGTTAAGTCAGTTTAACTCGGGTTCAGCATTTTCATGTATACTACACAAAAGGTGATTGAAAGCTACTGTCAAGTCAGGTAATCCAATCTGAAGCAGAATTCACCACTAAGAGAAACAAAATAGCATACTTCAAAATTTATATGATTAATCTACAAGGAATCACAGTATTAAAGAATTACTTACGGAATTGGTCCCAGTCTTCTGGAAGCAGTTGGAATTCAAACTTTGGTGGAATTCCTTTATGGAAGACCGGTTTACCACCGTGCTCTGGTGGTTCAAATCCTCCAGCCATTACACCACCGTTCCATTCTCGGAAATAACAATGACCATCAGGGTCTCGTATCACTAAATAAGATAAATATGAGTATCAAATCACTAAATTAGAAAAAAAACTGATTATGCCCAATCACTTACTCATTTTCCCCCAAATTACTCCAAATTTCTACACTAAAATCATTTGAAAATGTTATGAAATACTGTTTTGGCATATAGAAATATAAAATTACCTATTGACAAAAGTAAGAGATTCAACTGACAGCCTTGCTTAAAACCTATGAAAAAGTTTTAAGTATCAAACTTCAAGAGGATTTATGCTAGTTTCTATGAGATTTTAAGTCTCTTATACAGCAAATAAAGTGATGTTTGCAAAACATTTATTACCCCCCACCCCCAAATGGCAACCAATAAGTCCAGTGGCAGCCAATGGAGTTTGCAGAAGTTAATTTTTTCAAAGATCTATTCATATGGTTCTCATCCCTACATAGTTGTAGAACTGTTCAAACTGTTTTTGAAGCTATTATTAATCGGAAGCTTTTGCTGTTAAAGGTCAAAGTGATCTAAACCATGGTTGATGATTTATGTTCAAGTTAGAATACCTAGACAATGACATGCAAAGCAATATACCCTCATTTCAACAAAGAGGGGCATAAATATTGTCAACAGATCAGAGTTGTTTATGCTAGCATAAGGCACTAACAATCCACATGAACTACTCAATCATATGCATAAACATCCTTACTTTATTAGAAACAACCTTGCGTTTTAAGTCAAATTTTAAAAATAACATGTGAAGCGTTATATGCATTTTAAATATTCAAATACCTTAATATTTCTTAAGTTTACCTGGTAAGTTTGTATCCATTCCAGGGATAGGCTGAGTGACTATATAGTAATGTTCACAGGAATGCACCGGGACTCGAACTTTTGGCACTGTTTTCTTCCCTAACTCTCTTGCCCACTATATAAACAATGTAGATACAATATACAATTTTCTCTACATGCCACTATATAAACAATGTAATTAAGATATTATTTTTACTACATGCCATATTCATACATTCATATTCAATGCTTTTTTTTATCTTTCTTTTCTTGAATTCGATAAACAGACCAAGGCCAGAGAGTTTCCACTTCCCATATATTTACAAATTTGGCTTTTCCACCTAAATGTATTTCATTTCAAGACATATAACATCTTAGTTAAAAGCACAAAGATTTGTATAAAATAAAGTGAAAAGCCGACTTCAAAAAAATTAAGTTAAATCAATATATTCATTTCAATTTTTAATTAAAAAAACAACAAAAAATCTAACAAACTATTTCAATATTTTACTCTTGAAAAACAAAATTTTCTTTAAAGTTATTAGTTACTTCTAACAACCATAACTCTAAATTTTTTCAGAGCAATCTTTCATTCATAGAAATGCTTATTTCAAATTTAATAAGTTACGACCTTCTTATTTATCAATGAGGAATATTTAAAAGATCAAATAAATTATTTCAGAATTTTGAATATTTATCAACAGTGTTACATATTTGTATACCAATAGACAAGGGATAAAGTATAAGGTACCTGTCCAGCACAGTTGATGAAATATTCACATTGTATATTTCCGTGACTAGTTTCTACAGTATGAACAGCGTCATCCTTTGTTAGAACTTTGTTCACTGACACACCCTCAGCTATTTTTACACCTACAAACAACAAAAGAAAACATTCCTATCATAAATGCCTAAATATATAAATAATTCTAGTATTAGGGACCTACATGGCAGATTGGTGAAATATAACCCTCCCCCCTCACTCTTTAGTTTAAATCCCACAAAAAGTTTGAATACCTTAAATAAGAAGCAGCTATTGAGCTAGATGACTGAAAGTTTGTGACTGTACTCAGAAGTTTGCTTGTACCTGAAATAATGCACAGGGGGGTGGGGGGTGTGTGGGGGGGGTGCACACATGACACCACACTCCATCAGGGGACTTCTACCATAAGAGTCAAAGATAGAAATTCACCATAAAACCATGTGACTTAAAACCAAACTTAAAGAACAATATGAATGTATAAATGTTTCTCAACATATATTTCATTTATCTATTGGTACAGTTCAGGCCAACTTTTCTTGCATAATTCTATATTGTTTTTCAAATTACCACACTTTAATATCACAAAGAAAATGATGATGGGTTCATACTAACAACTCAAATTACTGAAATACAATCAGTCAAGGTTGATTGGATGATAGGCAAAGGTATCATTCCATATTCAAAGCACTTCATACAAAGAAAACAAAATGATGATTTCAATGAAAATCACTGTACCATTTTGCTTAGCTTTCCTGGCAAAGATGGAGACAAGATCTGTAGCTGTACATACCCCATCATTGGGCATCCATAAAGCACCCTGATAATAAATAAAGTCCATTAATATACTTCTACATTTATCAAGGACAGTAATCAATACCCCTACTTGTCACTTTAGAGTTAAGATGAAAATTTGCCAAATTTAAGGAATAACTGATGTAAGGAAATAAAAAGTCACACTTTAGCAATATTTAATATTACACTTGTACCAAACATAAACTTAAATTCATCTAATGTTTAAAGAGTTATCTTCTATAAAACTGACCAAGCAAAGGAAAAATGCCAAACCCTCCCTTTAATACAATGCAAGTTTTATAGACTGACTGATACCTGTAAATCTGTATATTTAATGTGAGGGCACATGTCCTTGACATCTTTAGGCAGCAATAAATGAGCCTCCTCATTAACTGTCCTGAAATATAAGAAAAGTTTGTGAATTTATAGCTGATCATGAGATATAAAAAAATTATTGAAGGTTGGGAAAAATTGCCTCCTGTACAACTATATTTACTAATACTATTGCCGGTCATTTGCTATATAGGCTAAAATGAGTCATCTGGATTACTGTTTTGTTTCCACTTGACCAATGAGCAGTTAACAAGAAGTTTTTATGCTAATTTTAATATTTTCTTTTTTCTTGGCAGTCTATTTACCCTACTTACATCCTTGGATAACTAACCAGTGATACAATTTTCTCGACAAGTGTCAATATACTATTTCCACATGATGTCTGAATCAGAATTAAAGACAAATGACCATTAGATTGAATGTCAATGATCATTCACCATTTTTAGGGAAATTTTGTAATATTTTTTTAATGTTGAGTGGACAGAACAAGCCAAGATCAGATGCACGGAAGTTCCAGATAAATTCAATCTGCACTTGTGGCATGAAAAGATTCTGAAGCTTAAATCTATGAGTTAATAATTTCCAACCTAAAGCCCCACATTTCATAACCATAGTGTAAATTTATCACAATTATACTTACTGCAGCATGGCAATCTTTCGTTTTAGTGAGATCAATCTGTCTTTAGTTTGAGCAACTTCAATACTTCCAACCTTTTTCCAACCTAAAATAAACATAGAGATTCTATGTATTTCATTCCATGGCACTGTCAAACTTTAAACAACGAAATTGTGGGGTAAGGAACCCTCCATCTTATCTCAACATACACATCTAACGGTTGTTCAGCTAATACTTTGAACAAAGGTTCTACATGTGTGTTTAACTATTGTATATTGAGAGATAATTTCTCTAAAAAAATTGTCCACTTCTTTTATGTGTGTTTAACTTAGCTTAAATTATATAACATTGCTAATTATTTCATGCTTACCAGTGTTTTATTGTAATATATCAGGTGATTATATTCTGATAAACCACTAGTGAAATTTATAAAATATAATTTTCACTGTAGCCGGACTATATCTGAATGCGGATGAAAAGAAAATCATAACTAAATGGAATAACAGGCAGAAATAAATGCCGTCATGCGTAAATTTTGCTTCTTAGGAAAAGAAAGTCGATGTCACCATAAATCATGGTTAAAATGTAACAAAATAAGAGAAATCTAACAGAACTATATTTCAAAATTGATGATGTGACGTCATGATGTGATGACGTCACAAAGGAGAATGCACGACGTTACGCGGCAAAATCAGTAAAAATACTTAGAATCACTTGAAAGGCATGAACAAAAAAAATTCTTTTACATATAAGCTTGAAATATTTGTCATTCGTGAATACCAGCTATTATATTTTCACTCGTGGCTACGCCACTCGTGAAAATATTGCATCTGGTGTTCACTCAGTGAAATTATATTTCAATCTTACATGCAAAACAAACAAATATCCTCTATGCATTGCTTAGGATAGATGTCATGACTACAATTTACAGTGAAGTCTACTGTTTATTACAAGGCTGTCAAAATCTGATTTTGACTTATATGTCCGTACTTATCTGATGCATTTCTTAATTTGTCCATATAATATATATAATATTATAGTCAATTATTGAAAATTCCCACCTGTCTGTACATGCTGTGGGACAATCTGGGCAATACAAACTATTGATTTTGCAGTCCCTAATCATATGATGAAAAGGAAAGAAAATAGCTTCCTATTTCACCATAAAGTCCTTTTTCAACATACAATCATTTAAAGATCCTATATGCTGTAATTAAGACTGTGACCACACTTAAATTCGGTAATATCTTTACAAATAATACTTCTTGGAACTTACAATATTGATCAATGTTCATTTGAGCACTATACGTATTTATGATATAAAACCATAAAAAAAATTGTGTTACAGGATCTTTAAGTATATAATCTACAATAATGTGAGCAAATTTTTTAAAAGTCTATTTAATATGAAAAAATTTCCAAACACTGAAAATCTGAAATAAAAAACTAGGGCCAAAAAACATCAAAAACCTTCACTATATACTTCTAGCCTACCTATGCCACCATCTTCTTCTTGTTCAAAGCCATCATACAAGTTTCTACTGTATTGAAGAAGTTTCATCATCTCAGGATCATCTTTACCTACAGCTACCAGCCCTACAGAATGCCAGGTAGTTCCACAACCTAACCTGAGTGAAACAATAGTAATGAATTGATGATATTTATTTATTTCGAGTACATGTTCAGTCATCCAATTTAGCACTGACCCGTTGGCCCATGGCCTGTGTGAATAAGTTCGAGCGAACGTAAATTTCAAGAAAATTTAGTTAAATATGTAGTTTAATACATTCAAAATGGGAATTCGGGCCAGTAAATTCAAAATCTTTAATTCTGACATTGACTGCATGTTTATATGCACATTGCGTATTACTTTGCAAGGCTAAGTGAGAATTTAAAATATTTTCAAGAGTGGACATAACAGTGAAAACATAAAGGTTATTCTTACTGAACATCTTCTCAATAGTATTTTTAATGGTAAATCTAATTTAAAGAAACAAATGATAACTTAAATAAATCTGAATATCAGTAACAGTGGCAAATGGCAAACACTTGATAAATTCTTAATCAGAAAAAAATTTGAGTGATGACATCATTTGCATCATATGCAATCTTTATTTACAATCATTATGCCTAAATATTTATGTCATTATTAATTTCATAATTATGTTAAAATTTCATAATCTGGGTTCAATTTCATCACAAAACAAGCAATTTATCAATTACAGGGTATAAAGCTTGATCATATGAAATATTTTTCAAAAATCTATCAATAGTAAAATTATGTTCAAAATTGCAATTTTTCATATAACCTTTTTTCAATTAATTTGCAAATATATTTGGTCAATAAATTTGCTGCAAACTTTAAATGGAAATTTCAATTAATTCTAAATCCCTATCATATTGAAAATTGAAAGTTTAAGAAATATTGTCTGAAAAAAAAAACTTCAAGATAGACAACCCTTTTAAAAATCTTTATTTTTAAGTTACACTTCCCATGCAACCTTTTAAAAATCTTTATTTTTAAGTTACACTTCCCATGCATCACTTTAAAAATTCAAATTTCAAGGTAGACAACTCTTACCACAAATTCTATTTTCATTAAAGCTAAATTCTGCCACTTACTGCCCCTGTTCCAGTACAACAACATCGTTCCAGCCTCTGAGAGACAGGTGGTAAGCTACAGACGTACCAATCACACCACCACCACATACTACAACTCTTGCCTGCTTTGGTAAGTTAACTTCTTCAGTAGCTAATGTACACAATTGTCTTTCCCTTGAAGAAAAAACAACAACGAAGATCAAACAACAGTCACACCTGAAATAACTTTTTGACCTCTGATTTATATGATGGACCTGCATTGAATTTAAAACTGTCCATTGATGACATCAGTTATGTAACCATTACATTACTTTCATAAGCAATTGAAGAGAATACATTGAAATAGTATTTTTATATTTCATAGAGATTTTCAAATACAAATTTGTTCATTTTACATGCACATGCCATATACATGTACATTTTATATGCATGTATAGGCCGACTTGTTACTTGTAGTTATTAATTCATGAAATAAAACTGAAAAAAAAATCCATTGTTAAAGCTTGATTTCATGATCACTTCTCCCTAAATTTCAAATCTTCTCCCTTTTTTTCCTGAATTTTCAGTCAAAAGTAGTCCCTGGGATTGATTTGAAAATTCAAAATTGTAATGCCTTCAGTATAAAATGCTATTTAACCATTTTCATGCTGACTAAATTTAACAATGGGACTCCCCCACTTCAGTGCCATCTGATCCTTAGGTTATTTTGTTTGTATATATTTTTAAATTTTCACTAAAATTGATGAATGCTTTTTGAAGATTGCTTCATAGACAAGTCCATTTAAAGCTGCATGCCTCCAGATGAGCCAAAATATTTCAAGAAAATCAAACTTAAGAAAAATGTACAATGATTTTAAGAAAAGTAAAAAGATTCAACATTCAAGTAATAATTTACATGTTATGTGTGATTAGAGCCTGATTTAAACAGATTTTATCACCCTATTCTACTGCGTGACATGGTCAAAACTCTTCCTAAATATCATACAATATGATAATTCTAACCTCTAAACAATATAAACATGTAATTTACCTGTAAATTTTCTGCAGACAACTCCATGACAGACCCAGTCCAGCACTTCTGGTCCCCTTTGAAACATGACACAGTCTATTGTGCAGGGTACCGCTAAGGAGGCGGTGCCAAACTGTCATCCTTAAAATTCTTCAGTTTCTCACCTTCATTGATTATTTCTTTGAGAAAACTATACCTTCTATCTGCCTCTCATACTCTGAAATAAAAGCAATTTTCTATCATCACAATATAATTATAATAATTAATAAATAAATTATATAATTATATACATGTACAATTATTCAGTATATACTACAAACTGGTATAAGGAAAAAAATAGCCTTGGTTACTAAGGATGCACTTGAAAATGACCTTCTTAACCCTTACCCTGGCTTTCTACTTATAGCATAGGTCAGCAGAAAACTTGTAACTGAACTCTAATGGCTAAGACATATTAAAGGTTCATTAGAAGCATCATAATATTATGTCCTTTATAGCAGACAGTTTAACTCTGGACTCATCAAAGAGTGTGAATCTTTTGAAATATTCATCTGTGTACCAAGAAGTATCTTGGTTTATACAGAATTTATTTTAGTTCAATTGTGTAGGAAGCTTAAAGCTTGTTGACCCACTTTCAAATCTGTTCCTATCACCAACCAGTACTGAGCAATGAGTGTAAAGTTTCTTACTCATTGAAACAATGGCTTGTCCAAGACAGGGTTTGAACTCATGCAGCTAGCCATCTTTTGATTACTAATCCAACTTGTTAACCACTTAGCCATGCCGCCACTTATACTTAAGGAAAATCTTAATAACACAGAATATCTGAATATCTCAAATTATATGTATGTTATATGTATATATAACATTAAAATCTAAATGTTTTAGGGTATCTGGATATCTCAACATATTTGAATATCCTAGAATATCATCTAAATATAAGAACTGAATAAAACTTTGCAAGATAATCAAAATATGACAAATCAATTACCAAAATAGAACTTTACAACTAATACATACATTATTATATGAGCCGCGTCACGACAAAACCAACATAATGGGTTTGCGACCAGCATGGATCCAGACCAGCCTGCGCATCCGTGCAGTCTGATCAGGATCCATGCTGTTCGCTTGCAAACCCTATAGCAAGTAGAGAAACTGATAGCGAACAGCTGGTCTGGATCCATGCTGGTAGCAAACCCATTATGTTGGTTTTGTCATGACACGGCTCATATATAAATAAAATATGAATTTATGCCATGACAAATTTTTAAAGTACATCTCTACATGCATCAATAAATTTCTACATGCATCAATAAATTATCACAAAAAGAATTCCTCATAATATTTAATATTCATAGTTATTATATTAAAGTACTTTATGGTATAGATTTTATTGCAATTTTTCAGGGCATTAGACACATTTTCCCCCCTTTTTTATTATTTTTTTGTTCTCGTTATATTGTCATATTACGAGTTTTCCAGTAATAACTAGTACAGCATTAAACTCTGAACACCAAAGGAATAAAGTAACTTTAAAAAGTATACAAACTGAAAGATAAATTTTTTTCGACATTAATCCAATAAAATCACACTACAATAAATAAAGTTTTTCAATAACTTCATTTTTAAAATTTAACTTACATTCAAACTTGAGCAGAAATAAAATGCACAATCAGGAGTATAAGTAAACTGTCTTCTGCTCTGATTCAGTTTAGACTAGCTAGGGTATATGTGACAGTTAGTTTTATCAATTCATTTATCTTAAGATATACAACCGATATAAAATTTTGATAATTAACAGTTGAACCTGTGGGTAATGACCGACAACCATGGACAGATAATGCACTGGTCAATTGTAACTCATTGTCCTTCCCACACCACCAGGGGATTAGAGAGGACCTTAGGACTGTTGCATTATCAAACATCCAGTAAAAGCCCAGCACTACAGCCACAGTCAGATTGTTATAGAGATGCTCTGGAACCCGCCAAATGTGTGGGTTTTCCCGTCTAATAGGAGACTACAAACAAACCTTTACATTTCAAACTTGGTAAATGTATCGATAATAAGCGCAATGGGTTGATCATTCTTTTATGACCATAGTGCACCGTGCAACATGAACCTATTAACAGTAAAAAGTTTGTTTGAACCCTGGAAAAGAGCACCGTGCAACATGAACCTATTAACAGTAAAAAGTTTGTTTGAACCCTGGAATAGACTAACTCCAAAATTAAGAATATTTTGGGTTTTTCTTAGCTAATCCGTAGGTACGGACAAACTTTTACAGTTACAGCTTCGAAAATAAGCGCAACAGGTTGATTTATCTATCATGACGGGTAGTGCACCGTGAAGCTATAACCGTATTAAGTTTGTTTGTACATATGAATTTAAGCTGGGGAAAAAACCAACTTTGCCGAGTTCCAGATAACATCTATTAGCTGGAGAAAATTCCATATTTTCCTAGTTTGAAATAACATCTATTAGTGTGATGCTTGTAATAATCAATATTTGAAATAAAAGTACATAGCTTTAATGATGCAAAAACATATTGGTTTGGAAGTCACATATATGTATATATAAGTCAATATAAACAATGAATTTATATAAATGAAACAATTATCTAAAGAAAATTAGATCAGGCGAGCTTATGAATATAATCAGTATCAGTTTATGTGAGTTTTCTTGTTAGTAAACAGTACAAAGACTAACCTAAATATATATAGATAACGAAAAACCTTGATGTAAAAGTTCAAAAAGTATGTGAACGTAAACAAAACAAAATTGTACATATAGACTAGATACCAAATATTACAAATTAAACAACACAAAATTATCATTTCTCATATTCTATAAGGATTAAAATTTATTTAAAATTTATATCCTTAAAACCTTTAAAATTCACATCCATAGAAGTTTATGTAATTATAAACTTCTATAAATAATTACCAATATTTCAAAGATGATTAATTTTAAATTCAATATTATGCATCTCTATTAACTTAGCTGAAGCTTATGTTAATTTGGAAAAAAATAAATGGAATTTACACACTTCTAGCATTTCTTCCTTAAAAAGATTTTAAAGTTCATAATAAAGAGACAGGAATATTTTTTTTAGCGCACCTCTTGCTAATATTGAATGGTTAATATTGGCTCTGTCACAAGCTCCTTGTCGATGGCTTGGTCACATTTGAATAAATGTAAATATTTTATTTTAATCAAGCTCTTTGAAATATTTTTTGTGTTGAGCCAAAGGTGAGATAGGCACAATGTTACATGTAAGATAATGGGGGTCAACATTAACTTTATGGTAGAGAAAACATGCTTGTTAATATTTGGTTAAATATCTGGTTAAAGTTCTAGCAACGTCATTTTAGAGTATTTCATATTGAAACTGCATCTTAACTGATGAGAAAAATGTTCTACGTGGCATAGCATTCTTCGATTTTTGAAAAAGAAACATATTTTTTAAAATCGGATGTTTTTATAAACTGTTTTTACCTTTTTCTGCTTTGTTTTGGTCTATGGCTCTATAACGGAACTGTCGAGGGCTCTCATTTAAACAGATCACCAAAATGTGAAAGAGCCACTGTTTAGTAGGCGTGATGTAAGAAGAGTGAGGAATGTAGTCACAATATTATCGAAATATGTGTTGATTATTAGCTTTCATAACTCAGACCATTCTTCTAAATCCTATAGAACTTAAATTCTTGAAATTCAATAAGAACTTAAGTTATATTCCTGCAAGTTACACAGAACTTGCTTTCTTGTAAATCACATCAAACTTAAATTCTTGTAAATCACTTAAACCTTAAATACTTGCAATTTACTAAATAACCCAGAACTTAAATTCTTGTAAAATCATTTAAATCTTAAATTCTTGTAAATCACTTATACCTTAAATTACTGTACATTACTCAGAACTTGAATTAATGTAAAATCACTTAAAACTTAATTCTTGTAAATCATTTCTACCTTAAGTTCTTGTAATTTAACAAAATCACTCAGAACTTGAATTATTGTAAATCACTTAAACTTTTATTCTTGTAAATCATTTATACCTTTAATTCCTGTAAACTACTAAATCGCACAGAACTTATAGTGAAATCACATACAGCTTAAATAACTGTTTATCAATAGAAACATGTAATTTTTTATGAACATGCTACAATAAAGTGTATAAAATTCTCCAGCTCACTCTGCGATGATGACAAATCATATGTAGTAGTATAGAAAATAACATGTAAATGTTATACCTAAAATGTTATTCAGAATATTATATATTGAACACATTAATTTACATCTCTATACTTCTCACAATGTCACGGTAAAAACCTCGCTTTTTGGTTCATCAATTCACGTACAAAAATTTTGACAAAAACCAGATGACCTAGATCTTGAAAAATTAAAATCTTGGTTCACCAATTTTCATCACAAAAAACATACATTTTTGATCTAGATCTTAAAAAGAAATAAAATGTTGCTGTACTTGATTTCAAAATTAAATTTCCTGTAAATTTAATATCCCTGGGTGTTATACATGACAAACTTTCATATTTAATGCAGTAATGTAAAAATGTAAGAAATATAAAATGTACATACCATTAAGTAAGATATTTATAAAAAAAAATCTCCAAAACTGGGAGTTTTTCACTCAATCTAATTATTTAGTAATACATGTAATAATATATTTTCAGTGTTCTGTATCAATTTGCAATGATAAATTCATCCATGCAGAATTCAAGTTCAAAGGTCAATTACCTTTACACAGTACATCTTTAGGGGTTAAAAACAGTACAAAATTTGATGTTAGAGGATGATAGGGCTATAATCAATATTGATGTATTGGTGTATCAATATTTAATAATCTTATTTTTGTTAACACCAAATACATCAATACTTTAATTGACCATAGTGCACTACATGCAAAACTGACTTGTATAATTAAGCTACTTGTATTATTAAAGCCAGCTAGCTAGTCAACTTAAGTGCCATCGGACACCAGGCTTAATGCTTTTCACTGCTCATCTATATATCAGAAACTATATTGCTAATAAAGTGGTGTATACATGGATGAGAAAGAAAGAAAGAAAGAAAGAAAGAAAGGAAAGAAAGAAAGAAAGAAAGAAAGAAAGAAAGAAAGAAAGAAAGAAAGAAAGAAAGAAAGAAAGAAAGAAAGAAAGAAAATATAGAAAGAAAGAAATTTGCTCAATCAATTT